ACACTGGATACAACTTACAAGAGCTGAGCTTTATTTCATCACCTAGTAGATCCTATTTTCTGAATTGGAGTTCATGATGGAACGAATGTAACTAACATTAACTAACATTTACTAACATTTACTTTTACTAACAATAACTAACAGTCATCATTTTATTGATAATTTATTTATAGATTCTACTTCATCTTACTACACATCTTTAGATTACTTAATAAAATAAATCATTTTTGTTCTTAAAACAAGCTCTTTGTAGTTTATCTGAAATTATTCTATCAAGGCACCCACAGGTCGGAGTTTTCCCCTCTAGGTTCGAACAACGGCTATCTTTCCTTCCCCCGAAAACATCACAGTATTGAGTTGAAAACATTATATGAGCCACGTCATGACAAAACCAACATAATGGGTTTGCGACCAGCATGGATCCAGACTAGTCTGCGCATCCGCGCAGTCTGATCAGGTCCATGCTGTTCGCTATCAGTTTCTCTACTTGTTATAGGGTATGTAAGCCCTGATCATTATGTTGGTTTTGTCGTGACACGGCTCATAGTCAAGTCAAGTCAAGTCAAAAGATTTATTCAGTAAATAAAGGCCACCGGCCCAAAATACATGTCATACAAAATATGGTATTTAACATTATAAAGTTGTGTCTTTTACAAGTTTTTACAATCATTACATTTAAATGCTACTGTGCTATAGATATCATGAGGTGGTAAATATAAGTAGAGATTTTCTTAATTATAAAAATATCATTTGATGAAAGTAATTCATAAAAGTTATGTAGTTCATTTCCGGAATTATACCAGTTTAGTAAATAGGTATTTCTAATTTCTAAATATTTTTTACAATGAAAAAAAGCATGATATTCACAGTCAATATGATAAGTTAAATGATTTTCAAGACAAAAGTTGCAAAAGCGTTCTTGAAAAGGTATATTTAAATGCCTACCGATTTCAACATTAAGTTTGAGATTTGAACATCGAAATTTAGCATATGCTTTCTTATGTTTTACAGGGATTTCTATTAGAAGATCCCGTTCTACATTTAATAAGCTTTTAAAATAACAATAATGGTGACATCTACTGGCATTGTTAATATTATCATGCCAATTTTGGGTATAACAATCTATTATGCGTTGTTTAAAAATGCTAACAAAAATATTCACATCTCCTATTTCTTGAGAAATCCAAATGTAACCAAATCCGTAACTGTACAGAAGTATTCGTATTTTGCTAGCCCAACAAGTTCTTCCAGCTTCATCTAGTGATTTTAACATTAAATAACATTGTTTTGGGTAACGGTATGGTGGCATAACTAATAGCTTACACCAATAACGGATGCAATTTGTATAATAAGTAATACAAAGTGGGAGTCTACCACATTCACCTAACACCATGCTTGTATTTGTATTTTTTCAAACATTTAATAAACCCTTACAGAACATATTATGAACAGATTCTATAGTTGGACTAAATTCATACCCCCAAATCTGTGATCCATAACAAAGAATAGGTTTGATCATTGTATCAAAAATTTTAAAGTGTTCCTTTATGGGAAAATTACCAAATGGTTTTTCATAACCTTTGATAGCAAAAATTGCTCTTTGAGCTTGTGAAGCTAATTTATCATGAGCTACATTCCATGATAGTTGTGGAGTGAATAACAAACCCATATATTTATAAACAGCAGTTGTATTTACCGGCTGACCGCGAAAAGACCAAGATTCATAATTACGAAGACGACCTCCATTTCGAAATACAATTATCTCTGTTTTGTCAAGATTAATTTCCATGCCTGTGTTCCAGCAAAATTGATCAATTACATTAAGTTGTTGTTGTAATTTTGTAGCAGTTTCAGCACAATTTGCAACATCATCTGCAAACATTAAACAAAGAATATCAGGAATATCATTTGTAATGAAAATGCCTGTGCCACATTTCTCTCTTAAAAGGGAAGATAACTCGTCTATAAATAATGTAAAAATTGTTGAACTTGTCTTATCACCTTGCCTTGTACCAATGTTACAGGGAAATAATTCAGTAATCATAACATTGTTAAACAAATCAGTTGTTTTAACACATGAAGAGAGATGAAAATACATTGATTTCAGAACTCGAAGAAAATTTCCAAAAACGCCCTTTTTTCAAGTGACAAGAAAAGTTTAGAATGATTCACTTTATCAAATGCTTTACGGAAATCAACATAGAGACAGTAAAAGCGGCCACCCTTTTTAGAAAGATATTTTTGAACCATTGCTTGTAGACAAAAAACATTATCGATAGCCGAGTAACCACGCCTAAATCCTGCCTGAGATTCATGGAAGACTTTATATAATGTATTTGTAATAGATATGCCGCGATAATTACCAGGATTATTACTTGGTGATCATATGGTGATCATTTCTGTGAAATAGTTATAAAATCCGTCTTCAAATAACAAAGTTATGGGCCAGACACAAATTCGGGACGTATGTACGTACAGACAGACATCCGGCCGAAATGGAATAAGGGGCCATTTCTTTTGTTAATTTCTATTGTTTAATAGAGGGCCAATGGCCCCTTACTCTATTGTTACGGAATGAACTCTATTGTTTTGTTTACAGTTAGATGGCCCCCTATCCCTATTCGGTAGTGCGGACTAACTGATGGACAACCAGGTGACTATATGCTCCCCCGAAATTTTTCGGGAAGCATAAAAAAATTGATAAACCCTTAGATGTTGAACTGTATCCGGGAATGTTTTTTTAAATTAAGTTTAAAAAGATATTTTAATTGAGTATATTACTCTATGTATGAAGGAAGTACATAAACCATAGTTTTACAAGTAACAGAAAAACAGTAAAACAATTCTGTTCATTAACACAAGAGGGCCATGATGGCCCTGAAATCGCTCACCTGTATATAGGCGCCAATTTTGATCCCAGGCTTTTATTTGATCAAACTTGGTAGACACTCATTAGAAGATATTTCATGATTAGTATCTTAACTCTAATCCTTTGGGGGTTTTTTAAAGAAGATTTTTTTAAGTTTTTACTATACACAAATAAGGAAAATCCATGGCACCCGGGGCGGGGCCAATTTTAACCCCAGGGCCCTTATTTGAACAAACTTAGTAGAAACTCATTAGATGATGTTTCATGCTAGATATCTTAGCTCTAGCTCTTAGGGTTTTTTAAAAGAAGATTTTTTAAGTGTTTACTATATACATCAAGGGAAAAACAATGACCCCTGGGATGGGGCCAATTTTGACCCCATGGCTTTTATTTGAACAAACTTGGTAGACACCCAATAGATAATGTTTCATGCTTAATATCTAAGCTCTAGCTATTTGGGATTTTTAAAAGAAGATTTTATAAGTTTCTACTATATACAAATAAGGAAAATCAATGACCCCCCGGGGCGGGGCCAATTTTGATCCCATGGCTTTTATTTGAACAAACTTGGTAGACACTGACTAGATGATGTTTCATACCAAATATTTAAGCTCTAGCTATTTCGATTTTTTAAGATTTTCTTTCGGTTGCCATGGCAACCAGAGTTCTGCATGGAATTAAATTCTTTGAACAATTTTTAAAGTTGACTACCAAAGAAGTTTGGATGAAATTGGCTCAGATGTTTATGATGAGATGTCGTTTAAAGTAAAACTTTACAGCCGGACGCCGGACGAAAAGCGATCACAAAAGCTCACTATGTCACTTTGTGACAGGCGAGCTAAAAAAGCAATAAAGTCCAATTCAAATAATAAGAACAAAATCTGATTAATATACAAATGAAACATTAATATCACCAACCAATAAATAACAAATATTATATTCTATTTATACTGTAACAGCACTATGGAAATATTCAATAATAAATCTGGCAAGCTCTCAACAGAACATCCGGTTTGTGTATTAGATGGTTGTAGACAGAATCAATAGAGACACCTGACAACATCACTGAGTTTAGATATGACACTACACTGTTCCTTATTCTTTTCACCACTCTAATCTTTAGAGTTCAAAATTCAAAAGCAAGACATACACATAATTAGTAATGACAAGGAAAGAAGAGTTGGTGTAGACAAAAAATAAGTACATGTACATGTATAGGAATTTTTAACAAGTTAACAAAAAAAAATAAGGCAACAATTACAACAACTTGGTTTTTCCATTAAGAGCATAATGCAATAAAATATATACTTAACAAGCAATAATAAAAAACAAAAACAATACTTTATATATAATACATGTAGCATCCTGTTGTTTTTTTCCACAAAATTATACATGTAATGTGTGGTGCTCAAAATTTAATAGTCCTTGTTTTGGTAGACAATGTATACTTACAAGTATTTTATTTCTTTCGAGCATACTGCCATGAAAAAAATATACAATATATAAAATTATTCTTAACAAGCAATAATAAAAAACAATACTTCATTATATATGTAGCAAAACAAAGATGTTTTTTTCCCCCACAAGATTGTGTGAGGCACTCATAATTCAATACAATCATTGTTTTGGTATACAATATTTTGTTACATGTATTTATGTAAGTGTATAAGCCATGCGGGAGTACATTTATGCTCCAACTATTTGAAGCATTTTATAATATATAGATATGTAACATATTTACTGCAGTACAGAACTTAAATATTATCTCTTGGAGACATGTAAAAATAATGTTTAAAATCCCTGTAAACTTTGCATAACTGCAAAATTTAAAATAACAAAATTAGCCACAGTTTTGCCCTCAAATTTTTTTATTTTAATTTTTTAACCTGCGGAACCTCTGCCCCCTATGAGCCACCCACTGGTATTTTCTTCAGTCTGCCCGGGCTTTATTTTTGTTCAATTAAAAATTTTTTTTATTTTCCTTTAATTTTTTGATTTTTCAAAATAAAGCTGCTAGTCCATTTAAGAAATTCACAATTCCAGGTTAAGGTAGATTTTAAATCCTAACAAATCATTGCAGTTTAATTGCAGGACAAATCCATTAAACAGAAACATGGGGGGTGACGACGGTTGATATTTTAATCATTCTTAAACTTTTTGTCAAGCAATAAAAACTTTAAAATTTAAAAATTAAAAAATGTATTATATATCGTAACAGTTAACTTTTATGTTTCAAAAACCATTTTCAACTTTTAGCAGCAGATTCCCTATCCAACTTTCTATCCATTTATAATATTATGTACAGCTGAGCACTTGTACATGAAGTAGCTAGTTAACAGTATAAATGTACAGACAACGTATCCCAACTGTACTTCCTGCAGCTTAGTTATAACTAGTATATAAGGCTGAAGGTCCAAAAGTCGAACAGCTTTTAACACTAGAGTAGACTGGTTAATAAATGACATCTGCTCTGCAGCCTATTTGTCACTTGTGATGCCCTTGATTGCAAGTTCGTCTCTCACTCGCTGAAGATAACCTGGATCTGGGTATCCAAATCTGACAATACAAATGTTTATAAATATAATTTAATAATGTCGATTGTAAATTAAAAGTACATGTATCATTTATATAAAAACCATAGATATAAAATCTTATACAAATAATTTAAACACAAACCTTCCTGCTAAAGAAACCATTATCTGTCAACAAAAACCAAGAATTTTTGTTTCCCATCACTGTGTTTGTCTGTACTATATTTGAGAGCAATCAGTGTTCACATGATAGCCAATTTAGCAGCTGTATTGAATGGTTATTGGACAGTTTGTTCACTATATGTCATGGCTATTTTGTAATATAATGCAGCTACTGTGTAGCAGGAGACACAAAATTCATTAACTGGCCAAAATGCTTTTTTAATTCAACCACAACTCTGTTAAAAAACATTCAATTGGAAAACCTGTTAAATACATGTATGTGCAAGTACTTGAGGTATCGATCAATTCTGTAGTTTCACTCAAATTGTAGTGCAAGAAAAGTAGTATTGACAAAACTATAAAACATAAAATGATTAAAGGGTTATAACTCTGACAAAAATCACTGAACTGGAAAATGCTGACAATATGCACAACTTAACTTGGTACTGATCATTCCTGTAAAGTTTGGATTAAATTGGACAAGGTGTTTTTCAGCATTAGTCGGGACAAGTTTTGTGACTTAAGGACAGACTGATGGAAAGATGAACAGATTGACAGACTGCATGAGCCCTATATGTTGTCACTACTCTGTAGCAGACAACACAAAAATCTTAACAAACATATTCCTTCAGGTCCACGTAAATATACAAGTATGGCAATTTCTTTGTCTATGCATTCAAATTTTCACACTCATGTCATGCCATTCATCAGTGAGTTTTCAAATATGGGTATTAATGACACAACAATTTACTGAGCCTAAGATCAGCCAAGATGGTCAGAGATTAAAACTTGTCAGTATTATGTCCTCTGCTCACATAAAAATTTTTTTAAGAATATCAAAAATTACATACCTTGTAGGGCCTCCTCCAATGCTTGTTTTATGGTGAATATCATTCCATGTTAGTACATTTCTATCTCCACTTGTTCTGGAGTCACCTATTGTAAAGACCAGTCTAGCATCAAAGGCTTTTTTGAGCAGACGTAAAATATCCCGCCCCTCGGTATTGTTTGGTAAGAAGGCTTTACGTGTGATACCTTTGTAGCTACGTCCAGGCTGCGGATGGCAGGACTAAACAATACAACGAAATCATATAAATTACTTTATTTAGTGCAAATCAGATCATTCTTATTTATCATTACTTTGAAATTATAAATACAAAGTAAAATAAAAATAGGGATACAAAAATCAGGGCCTGAAATAAATAAATGAACCGTCTGTACAACAGCTTGTTTGACTATTCTCACTAGATCTAACTGTTATGCCAACACTGACATCAATGCCCAGATGAGTAGGATAGCTACTACTTTTTTATAGCTACTACTCTTTTAATAGTTAAGCTAAAAAACCTTATTAAAATCAAAAAGTATCTAGGATGTAAAACTATAACACATAGACATGTAACTTACTAACTACACATATTTTAATGCACCAAGCTGTATATATATTCCCTCAGATCTAGTCTTCTAGTTTCAAATAACAAGGAAATAAAAGACAAAAGTATAAATCTGGTTCAAAAAGGTGACAAGATAAATAAAGTTAATCTAAATATTGAACAAAATTAGCGCGTTACCTCTTGCATACCATCTGGGAATGTGTAAGTGATGACAATCATTCCATCTTCACGCTCGTATCCAGGTAAGCAACGGCTACGGTCGGTGAATTGCGTCATGCGTCCATTTCGTGGCTGATCACCTGTAACTTTACCATATAGTGCTCCACATGTCGGACAACTTGGTTTCGAGCTCCTGAAATGTCTTTCAATACATGCACGACAAAACTTGTGATTACATTTTGCTAGCTTTTTAGGATCTCTAACATCATCAAGGCAAATGGCACAAACTTCTGGCTTTCCAGTTGAACTCTGAAGAAATTTCTCCCGATATGAATATTTATGAAGGTCAGCTGGTAAACTCTTTAAACCAAATTCTTCATCATCTTCACTGGTATCTGTGTACATTCCATAAGATGCTTTGGTTTTCCCAGCATGTGTGAATGCTCCATAATCGTCACTTGTTCGCTGGCCGAAATGTTCTGATCTTTTTGGAGAGGACTTATGTAGTTTCAGTTTGTCAGAAGTGAGAAGAGAGGCTTTAATTTTAGGTGGGGTGTTACTTCTAGTGTCTGAAGAAGGTGACAGCATTGTTTTATGTCTTAGGGACTCAGACATTTTTTCTCCTGTAGCTCCAGATATTGTGTTCCTTAAACTTTGACTGGTATCTTTTTTAGGTCTTGTATTCATTGAACCAGAGCGTTCCCTGTGTTTTCCAACAACACTGCTGGTTCCCGTTGTTGTATCTGGCTTTGTTTTCGTTTCACTAACAAACTCTCCCTTTTGAGGATCATATTTTCTTATATCTCCACTACTTTTGTCTGTTGCTCGACTTAACGAGGAGGAACGCCTTCTTGAAATTGGTATTGCCCATTTTTCACTAGATGAAGATGGGTTAATACTATCAAAACCTAAGGAAGCGCCCTTAGTATACGTTTTAGAGAAATCTGTACTACCTCGGGTCGCCCCTTTTCTGAAAGTTCATCTCCTAATTTTTTTTCAATTTTAATTTAAATTGTTCAATCTGCTGTAGGTTATTACCTGTCTACAAGGTGCTAACCAACACAATAGAAGTTACGTCTCTGATCTTGTAATAAATATTCCAGCTAAGGTTTCTATTCTATTGGAAAATGCAAGTCAGGAAAATTGACACAGGTATCTAGTGGAGCACCATACACCCCTGTATAATAAGAAACACAAGTGTACTTTACAGAACTTTTCAAGGACATGATTTAATTAGCTTAATCATTATCTTTATTAAAATTTTGAGAAAAAAACCTACATTCTATTTTTAATCATCTTATTTTCTCAGAATATAAGCTCTAAAAATAAGGACAAATGTAATGAATATGTCCTAACTACATTTCTTAAAATAGAATTGTGCATTTTGATTCCATATATTCTAAATACAAGTCAAGAATAAAAATGTATAAATGCTCTTACCTGAACTAATAACTGGTAAGGCAATGGACTTTATCCAGAGCTTTTTATCAGCATAATCAAAACAGTTCAGGAAGGTCTGTGTCAGCTGGCTAGTAAACTTATCTTTATAGCTCTCTGATAGCCACATAGGTCCAGCAGCATGGATGATGTGAGTTGATTTAATATCCTTACCACCGGATGTTGACATAACTTCTGTTGTCTTCAGCTTGCCATTTTTACGGACATAATTTCTACATTCTTCTTCCATTTCCCTTCCCCTTGCTTTCAGAATCGCATAAGCAATACCCCCATAATGTTCTAATTGCTCATTTGATGCATTTACTATAGCATCTGTCTCCTCCTTCACCAGGTCACCAAAGTAAATAGTGACCTTCACCCCACGAATGTCAAACGTGTGACAAAGCTGCTCTTCTGTATACCTATCGGGTATATCCATGGATCTTGCTGGTAACCGTGGTTTACTTAATCCGAGGGACTGGTCCACTGCATCAACTGAAGGCTTTCCTGATTTGCCAATACTATCTTTCCTTAATGAACTTGAATGCAAGCCCCTAGTTGGTGTAGATGATAAAGAATCATGTGATGTGTTACTCTCACGATGCGCAGTATCCCTTCTGCTGCTATTTTCTCTCAAACTTTTACTATATGTTTTATCTGATGAAGTCTGACTCAAATAATGTAGTCCAGAGAAAGCTTTAAATGTTGAATTTTCATCTTCTGACCTGCGATAAACATCCTCATTGAATGTACTTGGCATACTGTCTAATGGTATTTTATGACCAGTTCCCGCCAAATCTTCATTACTGTCACGTAAATGACTCTTCGACAAATAACTCTGGTGACCATTATCATTATATGCACTACCAATGTTTTCCCTCAATGACCTCATGTTCTTTAGAGAATCTGATCTTTGATTTGACCTTGAATCCTCATTATCACTGTCATCTTCATCATAATGGGGTTTAGGACTCCTGTGGTCATCAAAATGATTTTCTTTCCCATACTCTCTATAGCTTAGTGACGGGATATCATCATACTTTTGCTCTCGAAAGCTTAGTGACGGGATATCATCATACTTTGGATCAGACTGACTACTGAGATGATCTTTCCTCTTCTTCTCCCTTACTCCACTAAGAGATTCCTCCACACTGGATCTTTCAGCAATGCTTCTGCGTAAATCACTGTTAACTTCGGTAGGAGAAGTCAGAGATCTACCACGTGGTTCAGCAGTAACAAAGTTTGCATTCGTATTGCTCTGGTCAACTTCCATTGGTTGGCCAGCATATCGCTGAGGCTGCTGGGATATTTCATGCTGTATCACTTCCTGTTACCAAATAAATATGATGATAATGAAAATGACAGTATACTATAATCTCTTACGATTTAATATAATACTAATAATATAAATTGAGACCTTTGTCTAGTAAATATATTTATCATCAACATAGCCAACAAGAAAGTTTTCATAAATATTCAATATCTTTTACTTTTTTCCTGTACAGTACCACAAGATAATGAATAAAGATAGTGGTAAAATTTAATTGTCTTTTTAGCAAAAATGGCTGTGTTCCCAAGCAGATTAGTATTTTGACTTGCCCCTCAATGATACAAGGTACAGAATACCTTCAAGGGTGTTAACTGAGAAGATTAGAACAGTGGTTCCTGAAATATGGTATCTGAGGTCCTACTTTACCAGAAAATGTTTAACATATCCCTTTAATCATTCTGTTGTGAAATCATTATTATTCGTGGGTGACTAATATTTGTGGTTTCTGATAGGTCAATCCATGAATTTAAGGTCCAACTAAATTTCATTTTGTCTGTTGTAAGATTATTTTGCATCAAAATTAATTATTTACATTTTACATTTTGGAGAAAAAAAAAAGAACAGTCCACAAATTTAATAACCCATGAAAATGTTTTGTGACAAAACCACAAAATTTCATGCCCACAAAACTAAGTGAATTCACAGTAATATCCATTATAAACAACAAAAAGACTGAAAAACCAAGCTTAAGGATGTTACTTGTTGTTGCATGAAGCAGTCAATATAGTGCCAGGCCCACTCTAGCTGGAACCAGTTCCCTGTCAATGTCAAAGTCCCATCATGTTCTTCTTTTATTCTAATATTTTCATTGTACTCCATTTCATCTCTTAAATTTTGGGTCGCCAGAACTAACACTGATGCCTCGCTGTCTAGTTTTGCATCCACTGAGGAAAATACCTTCAATTAAAAGTAAAACAACAATTAAAGGGTATACATCTATATCTTATGTTTTTTTCATAAAATCTATCAACAATAAAATTATATTGGTTTCATTCAAGTTGTAACATAGAATGTCTCTGTTAATTAACACACATGAATATTGTACGTAAAAAGAATAAAATGTTCCAGAACAAAATATTATTTCCTATAGTAGGGTTTTATCCGTTTAGCAATGATTTTGTGCTTGCATCATTAGCTTTTAAGGCAATTATCTACCATATTTATTTCATACAAGCATTTTGGGGGTCTTCGTTTTTAAAATTCAAACAATAATTTTTGAAGCAGACATACAGCTTTATTACACAAATATCATCATCATAATATCAATAGGTTATTCATATAATATAACAAGAGCCACCGCCAGGCGGGGGCAACGCTTGTCTTTTTTTACTTTTTCTAAAAGCAAACAAATTAACAGTTTAAACAAATCTTTAAAAAGAAAATTAAAGAAAAGAAATTAAGTTTTTTCTGTTTTTAATTTTAATAGGTCTGTCTAGTCACACTTGTTGTTTTGTCCGAGCATGAATCCTTTCCAAAAATAAATGATAAAGTTAAGAAAAGTTAATCATAATTCAATCATTCAAACAATAGAAAAGATAACTTATTCTCTTAATTCAGACAATGGAAGATATAATATAAAGGCAGTTAATTACTTACCATGTGTTCTGGAAGTTCCTGTACAACAAAACGATGTTCAATCTTCAGAATACTGTCAATAACTGAAATGAGTACAAAAATAAATACAACTAGAACTCCCACTGCCATGGCCTAAATACTCCCGCATACCAATTTGTCAGAATCAACAGTGGTCATTTAGAGCTCAAAGACAACCGAATCAACAGTGGTCATTTAGAGCTCAAAGACAACCTCCTTACCAAATCTGAGGGTAGTGAGTCAGTGCATTTCTAAGTTATGATATGTATTCTACATGTTTTTAGTGGTAAAGATTCAAAGTGACCTTAACCTTTGACTTCCTGACCTCAAAGCATTCTTAATCAATTGAGCGGACAAGCTTTTTGGACTAAAGGCCCATGTGACCTAGACCTAATGGTCATGATCAACTTACATGCTAAATATGACAAGTGTGGGTCAAAGGATTCTAAGGTTTTTGGGCGGACAAGCTTTTTAAGTTAAGGCCGCTGTGACATTGACCTTTGACCCAGTGACCTAAAAAGCAATAGTGGTCATTTTATGGTCATGTCTAGCCTCCATGCCAAATATGAAAATTGTTGGTCAAAGGATTCTTAAGTTATGGGATGGACAAGCTTTCTTAGTCAATGCCCTTCTGACCTTGAACTTTGACCTAGTGACCTCAAAATCAAAAAAGGTCATCGACTAGTCATTACCAACCTCAATATTAACCTTTTCCCTTGTGATTTTTGGCAATTTTGAGACGTCCCCCCGTTGCCATGTTCACAGGAAATTTACGATTGAGCATGCTGTTACAGAGGCTATGGTTTAGTCAACATTTGTGCCAAGTTTCATCAGTATTGAAGCATTTTCATAGTTTAATAGCAGTTTGAACTTGTTACAGGAGGCTTTTCAATGAAAACGGTCATTTTTCGCAATATGCTCATGGGGGTAAAAGGTTAAATTACAGTTGACCAAAGCATTGTAAAGCAATTGAACGGACAAGCTTTTTGAAGTCAAGGCCCATGTGACCTTGACCTTTGACCCAGTGGCCTCAAAAATAAGAGGGGTCATCTAATTATCATGACTAGCCTCCATGCCAAATTTGAAGACTATGGCTGGGTGGACATGTTTTTTTATAGTCAAAGTCCTTGTAACCTTGACCTTAGGCCTGGTGACCTCAAAATCAACTGGGGTCATATACTTATCATGATCAATCTCAAAACCAAATATGAAGACTGTGGGTCAAAGGATTCTTAAGCTATTGGGCGGACAAGGAAAAACTGATAGACGGTCGGACGGACGAGCTGATTCTAGTATACACCTGTTACAACTTTGTTGTGCGGGTGTAGAAAAATTACAGACTTATTGAAACATTTAAGTAAAAACTGTTAACTCTTTAATTTTCAGAGAAACTTTGCTGTCTGCCTTATTTTAGAGAGCAATTTCACCAATTGATATTTGGGCAATGCTGTGGCCTGCAATATTTAAAAGCAAAGCTGTTGCCTGCCTTATTCTAGACACAGAAGCAGTCTACTTTATTTTAAAGCAAAACCTATCATGCATGCAGCATGCTTAACTGTGCCTTATTCTAGAGAAGGGTCACGATGCCTGCTGTATTTTTTTAGCAAAACATGTGCATATCTTAGTTTAAAGCAAATCAGCTATCTCTAGGGCTAAGAATTTTCATATTGTACACACATTATTTCAGAGCATAGTCGTTTTATTTGGAAACAAGTCTGTTGCCAGCTTTCAATCATGCAATTCTAATGCCAACCTTAAATGCCAATCATGCAAATCTAATGCCAGCCTTAAATTTTTCAGTACCAGCCAACTGGGCAATACTCCCTAAAGTGGGCAATACTGGGTAATATGATCGTGTTTAGGGGTTAATCATGTAATACTGTAGATAATTACATTTATTTACAGCATTTAATCAACATTGATATGCATGTAGCACATTTAAGAGCATACAAAACACTTAATAAAGTTGAGAGCATCAACAGTTGTTGTTGTTTATACATGTTCTATAAATGTATGCTTAGTTATTGTCCAACTTTCCAGTACGTTCAGTACTGATATTTCTTCCTTTTCTCTTGGAATTCTACATCAGATACTAACAAGCACATATCTTTGTAATCCAATGTTGATCAGTAATTTAGTTTTGTATAAATACAAATGCTGTATAGGCGATAAAAGCTTGATTTAAGAGATTTTTACTGCCTGTTTTCTTTCAGAGTAAGCTGCACAGTGCTACCTTCCGGATTTTAGAGAAAAACTTCGATGCAAGTGGTATCCAGTTAACAAAAGACTACAGTCAGCATAATGTAAGAGTTAGACTGCTATTATTGGGTACTTTATCAAAAGTAACCTTACATTCAAATAGGAATCTTATTTTCTTACTTCATACATTATGTATTATAATCTTACCTTTCTTATCTTCAAACAGAATAACAGCATCATTGTTGAAGAGTGGGTAGTATATTTTCTTGATTTTTCCGCCGCCATTCTCTCGTTTGGAGAAATATATCTTCAAATGTTTCTCTGTCACATTTTTTGGAAGATTTCTCACTCGAATTCCGCCCATTGTTTTATCTCATCTACAACGAAATTAAAGTTTTTAATTCACATGTCTTAACCCTTACCATGCTGAATATCTTAAATGAACTTGTCCATTCTTTCAACCTTAACAGAAACATTCATTCATTTTTAAGAAAAACTTGAAAAATTGGAAAAGACTGTCACTAAATAGGGATCAGTGTGGACCATGATCAGTCAGCTGCTGACCTTGGTCTGTACTGGTCACATGGGTTAGATTAGTTGCTCAGCCAGCAGGATTAAAATTAATGAATAAAATGAATAAAGATGAAATGTTCCTTCCAAAATTCAGCCAGCTTGTCATTTTGTTTCTGTTATTCATCTGTAAAACTTAAAATATCTCAGTCACATTTTATCTTCACAAGATATAACAAGCCATGACAAAATGTATAACATTGTAAAATATATATAACTAATGAATACCAATTTAATCACAAAAATTATTTTTAAAATAAACATGTAAATCTTTCCTATTTTTTTCTTTTATTCCACTTCCTTCTAACAGTACACTTCATGTTGTGTAAAATTATTACCGTATTGTAGATTTATCAATCCCTGATCGTTTGTGTGACATTACTATACTGGTTATTGGCATAATTATGTATGAATAATTAATACATGTATACATAAACACAATCATATAATTCAAGTTTGTTCATGTATCGTAATAACTAACCAAAATCATGATTTCTGTCTAATCAATGTAAAATACCTATAACATTGATGGCAAATGGCAATTATAGAAAAAAGTGATTCTACAGTAGTTGTCTCAATTTTGGAATTTTCAAGCAAAAATTACAGTTAAATATTATTGATAAGCTTATGTCAGTCACTGCGAAAGTCAAAAAAAAATTCCAGCCACAAGGACTGGACACAGGTGCTTGTCCAGTCTTGGTGCCCATATAAAAAAAATTGAAGTTGAAAAAAAAACAAAAAAAAACAAACTATTTTTGGGTTGAGTGTAAGAAAAAAAAATGAATTTTTTTTTTTTCCTATATACCATTATACGAAGTAATACTTCATAGTAATGGTATATAGGAAAAAAAAAATTTTTTTTCAATTTTTTTTTTCTTACACTCAACCCAAAAATAGTTATTTTTATGTTTTTTTTGTTTTTTTTAAAAACTTCAAAGACTGGACGAGCACCTGTGGGACTGGGATTTATTTCCGGCCCTGATGTTTTTTTCACGGCCTGGACTTTTTTTGTAGGGGTGGGGAAGGGATATTGCCATAATTAATAAACAAAAATATTTAGCAAATATGAATTATCAGACTCAACTATAAGATACTATGAAAAAAATACAGAAACATAATAAATAAACATTAGCATAATTCTTAAGAAAACGATACATCTTTCAAAGGTTTAATTTTGAAGATAGGAGATAAAATATGTTTTGGTAAGGAAATTATCCAAGACAACATGGTGGCTTACATTACTTAGCAAAAACTGGTTGTATCTTGCAGTGATTTTGGTTATCTGGGTCTGTGAAGACATGCAAAGATGAAAAAAAAAAGATTGATCTTGGAAGTTTTGTATATTTTAGAAGGCCAAAAATTGTTTCAAACTGGCTGAAATATTTATTCGGACATGAGGACTGACTCAGTATAGAAATTTATCTTGGCCCACCCGATTTTTAGTTGGCAAGTCCGAGAACCGACAGACTTTCGCACAGACTGTTATGTGTTGCAAAAAAAGATTGAACATAATAAAGGGCTGTATACAGACCTGTATAAAAAAGAAAGCCTATTATCACTGCTTTAAAAAAAACATAGATTTTTACTTCTCAAATTATTGATCAGGCAATGATAACAGTAGGTACATAATTTTATGTACCATCACTTGGAGTCTTTTTCCATTGATTTTTTATGTGGCATTTTTTTCAACCAAAAAAAAAAGAAACAGGAAAAAATTCCACATACATGTAAAGGAACTCCACTGATGTACATAAAATTGAATTTCTTACATAAGACATTGATCAATTGGGGTACTTTAAAGAGAAAGAGAAGCAAAATATATCAAGAATTAACATACAAAAAATTAAATTAAAAATGTACTATTGTTTTATCATAGTTTGATAAGGTTTGAGTTGATTTAATTTGCAAGCACAAGGCTTTTATTTTTTTGTATCTTTTTTCTCAATTAAAATAATCATCCAGAAAAAAAAGAAAGAATGATCACAAGTTTTTCGTTCAGACTTAAACCAATCATAATATGCTCCTCATTTGTTCTAAGTCCCAGGAGCATAAAAATGGTTGTAGTGGATTTACTTATATCAAATTTTAAACAGTGTATTTTTTTGGATCTTTTTTCTCAATTAAAATAATCATGCAGAAAAAAAAGAAAGAATGTTCACAAGTTTTTCGTTCAGACTTAAACCAATCATTATATATGCTCCCCATTGTTCTAAGTCCCAGGAGCATACAATGATTATAGTGGATTTACTTAATTAAATGTACTTTATTGAAATATTCTAAACAATTTCTTTTCTTTACTATAAGAATATTAATTATATTAATTAAAAAGGGTGCCATAGTCACAAAATACGCCCGTTTACGAAAGCTTTAGATGGAGATGGGGGCATTATGGATAAGTGTTATCTAGCAAGCAAGTTTTTATTCTTGGCACTGTTTTGTTAAATGAACCTTAAAACAAATCAGTAGGGAAGATATGCACAGGATGTGTGACCTTGACCTTGGTCGCAGGGACCTGAATTTTATGCACGGCACTCAGCCTCACAATGATGAACATTTGTGCCAAATTATATTGAAATCCCTCTATGCATGTAGAAGTTTTGCTCCAGACAAGCGTTTTTCTATGAGCTCTAACTGTGACCTTCACCTTTGACCTAGAGACTTGGTTCATGTGCAGGGCACTACGTCTCATGGTGGTGAACAATTCTATAAAGTAACATTAAAATTCCTCCATGCATGTAGAAAATATGCTCCGGACAACATCTGGATATTTAATCATCTCCAGTGACCTTGACCTTGCAAATATTAACCTAAATTAAATGTGTCACACCTGTAGTCATGATAGTTACCATTTGTGCTACAATCCATCACTAAATGATGACTAAATGGTCCCTATACACATCTTCAAATTTTTATCTGAACTTTGACCTCTATGTGTGACCTTGACTTTGGTCGCAGGGATCTGAATTTTGCGTGCGACACTCAGCCTCACAATGGTGAACATTTGTGCCAAGTTATATTGAAATCCCCTAGAAGTTTTGCTCCGGACAAGCGTTTTTCAATGAGCTCTAAGTGTGTCCTTGACCTTTGACCTGGAGACCTGGATCATGCATGGAGCAATACATATTTTATGGTGGTGAACATTTCCATAAAGTATTATAAAAATTCTTCCATACATGTAGGAGATATGCTCCAGACAAAATCTGGATATTTCACCATCTTAAGTGACCTTGACCTTGCATATATTGACCTAAAGTACATGTGTCACAGCCGTAGTCATGATAATGACCATTTGTGTTACAATCCCTCAATAAATGTTGATTAAATCGTCCCTATACACATCTGGATATTTAATCATCTCCAGTGACCTTGACCTTGCAAATATTAACCTAAATTAAATGTGTCACACCTGTAGTCATGATAGTTACCATTTGTGCTACAATCCATCAATAAATGATGACTAAATGGTCCCTATACACATCTTCATATTTTTATCTAAACTTTGACCTCTGTGTATGACCTTGACGCTTGGCTGCAGGGACCTGAGTTTTGTGCGCGACACTCCGCCTCACAGTGGTGAACATTTGTGCCAAGTTATATTGAAATTTCCCTCTATGCATGTTGAAGTTTGCTCCAGACAAGCGTTTTTTGTTTTTTTTTGTTTTTTTTTTTCAATTGAAACTCTAAGCGTTGACCTTGACCTTTTGACCTAGAGACCTAGTTCATGTGCGTGAAATGGCTTCTCATAATGGTGAAAGTTTCTATTGAAATTTCATTAAAAATCCCTCCATGCGTGTAGGAGATATGCTCGGGACAAAATCTGGATATTTCATCATCTTTTAGTGACCTTTGAACCTTGTATATATTGTCCCAAATTTATATGTATCACAGCCATAGTCTTGATGATGACCATTTGTGTTACAATCCCTCAATAAATGATGACTAAATGGTCCATATACACATCTTAATATTTTTATCTGAACTTTGACCTCTATGTGTGACCTTGACCTTGGCCGCAAGGACCTGAATCTTGCGCGCAACACTCCGCCTCACAATGGTGAACATTTGTGCCAAGTAATATTGAAATCCCTCTATACATGTGGAAGTTTTGCTCCGGACAAGCATTTTTCAATGAGCTCTAAGTGTGACCTTGACCTTTGACCTAGAGACCTGGTTCATGTGCGCGACACTGCTCCTCATAGTGGTGAAAATTTCTATGAAGTTTCATTAAAATCCCTCCATACATGTAGGAGATATGCTCCGGACAAAATTGGACGCCGCCCGACCGCCCGCCAGGGGCGTTCCCATAATACGTCCCGTTTTTCAAACGGGCGTATAAAAAGGGACTTTACAGTTTTAATGATTTAATGTATTCAGTATTGAAGAAACATACCAACATTTCATGTCATGTCAAGTAAATTAGTCCTCTTTCCTAATATTTACAATACAAGTATATAAAGATTAGAGATTTTAAATTCACTTGACATAAAATATTTATCTTTATTTCACTGTTAACAGCACAAGATCATTTCTCATACAGTATCTTAACAGGAGCAAGGTTCAGATGTCAAATGTATAACTCAGAGTGTGATAAGAGTCTAATGAGAGGATACCATAGTTAAACAATGCTAACGTTGAAATGCCCTAAGTATTAAGGAACTTATGTTATGTACAATAATTGTTAAACTATCATGCTATAGTTTCAGCAGCAAAGGATAATATATGAAATGTATGAAATAATGACAAGAGGTCTCTCAAAATAATTATAAACTATAATATATCAAAACTTAACTTACTGGAACTTAATGATTAGCTTTTGCCACTGACATAGATGCATCTATGCAGTCTGACCAGGCTCTATACTGTTGGCTGAACAATTTAAATTTTCGTTATGATAGCCATAAAAGTCACAAATAATGGAAGCTGAACAAGACTCTGTGATTTTTCCCAATATTTTAGCTGAATAAAGGCTGTTTCCTTAACCCCTAAAATGCCCCTGAAATGCCATGTGCATTCATGCTGTCCAGTGTGCAAAAAAAAAAAAAAAAAAAAAAGAATTATAAATTAAAACTTAATTTGACCACTAAGACAAAATATAATTCTTGACACAGATAAAAATTTGTCGACTTAGAGATTGTATTTACAGTAAATGATGTATGTGTGCATATATACAAAATGTAGATAACCAAACCCATTCTTCAGGAAATTATTCCATATACCGTATATATATATATATCAGGTCAGAAAAAAAAATGGAAACAATTTTGTTTATTTTTCATACAATGAAACACGCTTATAATGAGGGAAAAGGTTAAAGAATACAAATACATAATCTGCTTGCTGAATGGGATTTTACCGTTAAATTCTTTATTGGATATTTCTGGAACAAGCCGGCACCTTATTAAGAACAGCCGGATAGCTTCCTCACTTGACTGAAATTTGAATCAAGGTCCATGGAGAAATTCAATAATACAGCAGTGAGGGGCAAGTGGCTGAAAGTCAACAACCTTAACCACTTATCCATGGATGCCCATTGGATATCACTTTAATAAGGAATGTTCAAATGTTCCGCGTGTTGATTGGTCACTACCCCTGGGTCCCCCTCACCCACTCTACAACTCTCCTACTAATACCATGTTAAATGTAGCACTTTTCATTTGAAACATGTTTTAATATTTGGTATATGCTTTTTAAATTCAATTACCTTCATTTCCCACAAAAAAATAAAAAATTGATATATATATATAGATCTACTAATTAATTATATCAATTTTTCATTTTTTTTGTGGGAAATGAAGATAATTGAATTAAAAGCATATACCAAATATTAAAACATGTTTCAAATTAGTCTAGTTTCAAATGAAAAATGCTACATTTTACATGGTTTTGAGAGGTAGGAGGGTTGTAGAGTGGGTGAGGGGGGCCCAAGGGTAGTGACCAATCAATGCGCTGAACACCTATGGGAATGTTGGCAACTGCTCTACAGTTTATAAAACCCAAGCAAAGAGAATGGCAATGGCTTTGAGTGTTTTTTTAAACAAGAAAGTTTTGCTTTCAATTTCCAGGCTCTTTCAATTAGAAATATTACTTTCAAGAAAGGCCCTGTCACAAATTTAATGGCCCCTAAATTTTAGGCTAAAATGTTTTCTTACAGTCTGTATTTAATAACTAAAGACTATCCTTACTAAACATAGGTTATACATGTACCTGTTTTAAATCTATGTTGCCACAGTTCAAACTTTAAAAATTATCAAAACCAAACAGTTTGCACAGCTTTCAATTTTGTTACAATTTGTCACTCAATTAAAAAGACATCTCTAATCGGATGGTCACAAAATAAATAAAAGTAGCATTTCAAATAACCTATAAAATTATGTTGATTTCTCTTAATCCTTTGCAAAAAACAAGATTTTAAAATCCAGGAAGTAAAATAAACATTTTAAAAATTCATAAACGCGCTAAACGAATTTTTTTTATCACGTCTATTTATTAAATTAGTAAAATATAGAATAGAGATTTAAATTAATGCCAAATATTTTTAAGATATAAGCATAAACCATACTTTATGGCGAAAATATATGATTAATGAAAGAAATATCGTAACTGACAATTTTTTTCATAAAAGACCAAAATAAGATTTCGTTTAGATTTAATTTTAATATGTAAATTTTTCGAATCGTAGTAACGTAAACAACATGGCTGCCTGCTGAAATTTTTGTGTAGAATAGTAGTGATAATTTGTATTTTTAACATAATTTAATTAATCTGAACATCAGGAAAGGTAAGGGTTTAAATGATATTTTTATAAGCTAAGAATTCTTTCAATGTTTTGTCGGCAGCATTGTAAATTGTAGTTTATTTTATGTTTTTATCCCCACACATTTCATGCTGCAGCTTGTTTTGGGACATTTGCCTAAATCGCTTCAAAAGGGGAAGGCCCTGGGTTGAATCATCATAACTATTACATTTTTTGCTAGACAAAATACTTATCATTTGCTTATTTGCAGAGATATAGTCTTCGGAAATGGTGAGGGTTTATATTACATTCACTTTTCTGTATCATTCAATATCGATAAATGATAAAATAATATGATTCGCAAATAATGAATGAATTATTGTCATCAGTGATGTAGATCTAATTTATTTTAAGTCAGGTTTTCACATAAAAATTTATGTTTTCACAAAAAAATATTGATTCTCATTAAATGAAGAATAATTCAAAATTTTAGAAGCAAAATACATATATCTATATACTGGTTGGGGACCACCAAAACCGGACAACCACCAAACCTTGACGGCCTCGAAAATGCTTAATTTAGTAATTTCTTTGTTCAGTGGTTGTCGGTCACCTTTTTATCAACACTAAATGCATGTTCCTTCTTAAATTATAAGTAAATAAATTTATTTCAATCTCCATAAATGGTAATATTTTAATGTCTATTTCAAGAATGTTGACGTTGAGATTTGGGGGTCAAGAAAACAATGCCTGACCTCATATACCAGCTATAATTATTTGCAGAGTATACAATTGAATATCCAAAACTTCAGCATTTGTTGCTGAAATATTGTATATCATGTTTAAAATAAAAAAAACAATCACCCAAGCTTTAATCTTAATTAAATCACGTCATGTACAGAACTGTCCGGACAAATGGTACTGTAGTGTAGACAATTTAGGTAATTTTGATACCCTCCTTATCGAGCCTCAGATATAAGTGTCTATACAATCAGAAATAAATAAACTACCGGTATATTGTTAGTTATGAGAAGAACCTAGCTGAACTGTGTCAAATTTGTTGGTCTCTAGGTTAAAAATTATGAAATCTGTACGGAAAAATGTTTAAAAAGTGTCCGGTTGATGGTCCCCGACCAGTAGATACACATATGTGTGTGTAAAGTTTACTTTATCTTTTTAGTGCAGGAATGATACACTATATTTTCTAATGTCAGATCCAAGTGTTCGGCTGATTCATTAAATTTACTCTGTCATGTACATGTACAAAAATATCCAACTGTTTTCTTTCGAAAATTTTTTGATACTATTACTTCATGACATACTGTACACAGTAACAGTGATTACTCTAAGACTTGAACAAATTTAGGGTACCCGGGTATATATCTTTTAACAGTTAATGACTAATTTCCTATTTTTACCTTCATTAATTTTTTTAGCTAGCCAATAAATTTATATTTTGGTATCTTTCAGTAACTTTCAGTAATTCTATTCGCAAGATGTAATACAAAAGTTGCGCAGAAGTTTTGATTGAAAGATTTTCATGTCCATTATACACTAATTTCAAATATACCAAATTGAAGTTACCGGTACACATATAGGAACTCTTAAAACTACAAACATTTTTCATTTGCCAATATAAAATTTTATATCATGTAAGTCTTCTTTCAGATGGATTATGTAGATGGCCCATATATGTCAATGAAGGAGCGGAGAGAGAAGCCTGCAAACTCGTTTCAGAGTGAACTAAGGCAGAAAATGAGGGAACGCAAGAAAAAAGGTCTATCTGCAGACATAACAAGTGAAGAATCAGAGGGTATGGATGATGGCTTTGACAGTGAGGAAGAAAACAGTAAGTTTAGTTTATTTATATTGCAAAATTCGGCATATTATAATTTATATGACTAGTATTCTTTAATTTATTTTGTTCAGAATAGTTTGCTATTAATATCTTTGACATGCCTGAATGTTTTCCAGGTCACTAATTGTAAAAATATGCAATGTTTTAGTCCTGGTATTGCAGGTTCAGAAAAAAATAAAACACTTCAATTCTAACTGTCTTGCTAAAGAAAAATATGTGATAAGTTTTAGTTAAATTGTTAAAATTTAAGGCTAACAAGTTAAAGATAAGTAGTATGTATTTTCTTTCATTTTCCTAGGCATGACTATGAACTATAGAATGAATCAAAAAAGGACTGACAGACCAACTTCAGCCAAACGCAGAGGTAAACCAGACTTAGGTGACACTATGAGACCTTCTGACACCAATAAATGGATGAAAAATTCACAGTCTAAAAAAGATACAATGTCCACACTCAGGCAGACACCACCGTTGAAAGAGTCACCAAGATTTTCAAAACAGCCTTCAAGAAGTGAAGTTGACCAAATGTTTGGAGCTAGTCCCCGCACTCAGACTTCTCCTTTGGATAAAAAGTTTATGAGACAATCCCCAGTGGAAGAAAATCTATTCTCAAAGGGAAGGACTTCTCCTTCACCGTCTGGATCAGGAACATCTCTTCCTAAGTCACTGTTTGGAGGGAAAAAATCACCAGTATCAACAAAGGAATCTACTCCTGAATTGACAGCTGAAGAAAAAATATTTGGGAGGAAGACTCCAACAAATGAAATGTAATGTTAATTTTTTTTTCTTGAATTTTTTTTTAATATGATATATTGTATGTATTTGAAATGAATCTTTTCTGTATTAATGTCATTCAAAAGCCATACTTGAAGATATGAACAACTATTAAGTTAACTTTGTTGTTATGATTTTAATGGGCGTCCGTGGCCGAGTGGTTTAAGTCGTTGACTTCAAACCACTTACCCCTCACCGCTGTGGGTTCGAATCCCGACAGGGACTTTGGATTCTTTCATGTGAGGAAGCTATTCAGCTAGCTTACGGAACGTCAGTGGTTCTACTCAGGTGCCCGTTCGTGCCTGAAATAATGCACGGAAGGGCACCTGAGGTCTTCCTTCACCAGTAAAGCTAGTCACCAAATGACCTATATACTGTGTCAGTGTGACATAAAACCCAATAAAACAATAAAGCAAATTATGATTTTAATATTAACAGATACATTTTTAATGTTAACAGATACATATGTTAAAAACTTTCCAATTGGAAAAAATCTTCACAAATGTAATTGTATGGTAAGCCTGAATTTCTAAGTTCATTCTATAGTTCATTGTTTCATGTTTCTAAGTTAACATAAAGATTCATCACAGTTTTGTTTGTTTTATGATTCAATATACATGTAGTTTTCTTATTGAGCTAAGATGTTACTCTAATGGCATCAATATAGTCAGGTCGTTGAGGCTAATCTGCACTTCATTTAAGTCCAACATTGCTTTGTACATGTACTATTTGCTGCTCAAACTTTTGAGTCTGTGCTGTACATTTATAAAATCAATAGATAAATTAAAATTTGTATAAGAAAAAGAAAAGTTAATAATGAAGTCAGAACAGAAGAATTGAAATGTTTACTATATTTGTTTATATAGGCAACAGCAGAAGCATGACAAAGAATGGACTGCTCCAAGTTTTAGACGATCCCCGTTTGGTGATCAAGACAGGTCATCGCCCAGTGCAGAACTTGATAGTGAGTATAATAAACATTGTTATATAGATCTTATTTTATAACAACATTTCGTATAGGTTAGTGTTTAATAATATGTATTAACAAAAATAATTGGTCAAGCCTGCCGCAGGCAGGCGACCAATTATTTTTGTTAATGCATATTATTAAACATTAACCTATTTAATGATCAACATTATTTTTTCAACCAAAAACAAGGCATTTCACTAAATCACCGATAGCTCCGCCCTTTCGCTCTACAAGATGTCTACACCTTGTCAAGTTTCTAACATATCACATTTAGATAAGCTAAATAAATGGCCCTATCAACAAATAATCAGGCACATTTTTTACTGAAATGTCACAGAATTTATACCTTTATCTACAGTAAGACTATCATGCTGAAAAAAAAACAGCGAGGAAAATGATGCAATTAGGTAAAAGCAATGGAGTTAATGAAATAAATGGAAAATGTGAGAAAATGCATTAGATTAATAATTTATACAAATTCATTATTAGCTTTAAGTTATTCACTAACATTTAAAATCCCTATTGATTTGCTCATTTGAAAAACAGCTTTTTTGTGTGTCAATCTAGGTTTACAGGTGGAGGGGTCCATTTACCATGAGTTTTCCAGTCAAAAAATGTATTTATAATCATTGTATTCTTAATATCAAGGATTGTTAATGCAGTTCATTCCTATCAACTGAAAGAAAATTATGTTTTGGTTACTTTTTCAAGATAAAAAAAAGAAGTTTAAAACAGTCAGCAATTTTATAACAGGCATTTTTCTTAGAGTTAAAAGGATATAAAAAAAACATTTGTCTCTGCATGCCCCACATGTATTATCTATGTAATAAATTAATTGATTGTATCCTCACATTTAGAAACACATGACCTCGCCTAATTGTTTTTTACGTTAGCATTGTTCTGCTAACCTAGATATTTTACAATTCAGAGTGCAAATCACACCTCTAACTCCTCCCTAATATAATGCATTATTGAAATTTGTTAGACTCAGGTTAGACGGCAGATTAAGTAAATTTTATTTAGTTAGTACACATTAACTAAAGTTAGACTTAGCAGAAATTTGAAAAATACTACAATGTGAGTGGACAAAAAATAATGTTGATCATTAAAGTAATATATTGATGTTCAGATAACCCTAATTCTACTAAATTATTTCATGAATAAATAAAGGATCTTGAGTGATAAAATATGAGGCTGTTTTTTTTTAAACTTGTCATTTTCAGTAGTTTATATACAAATATACAGATAATTTTTTTATATTTCACTCTTTGCTTTGTGGGAGATATTATGTCACAAATGTTTATAGACTTTATTTTTATGCCTGTCATAACACCATATCAATAACCTGTGTAGTCTATTCATGACGATAAATATATCCTTATATTTGTTCAGACTTTCTTTTTGCATTTTATTGAAGGTACTTTGCACATTTGTTTAAAATAAAATGAAAATTACAAAAATGTGTAATTCTGAAGGATTGTATCACTTTAAGTGCTATTTCTGGTTTTATAAGATTTGTTGTATAGTAGACAGCACAGTCATTGTATTGAAGGTGCAATTCCGGATGATTATATGACACAAAGTTCTGTGTTTGTATTTATGCTCGCCTTGCAGCCTCATGGACATTTGAAAGCTTTTAATGATAATAAGTTTGGTGCTTGTCTTAAAAGTAATTATGCATTTATGTTATTTTTGTTTGTAGAGCGAGGAGGAAGAAAAACACCAGTTGATTCAAGTCTTCAGCCTATCAATGAAAGTCCGAGACCTGTGCCTCGAGCAAGACAAACAAGCCCGAAGGAATCACGACTTAGATCTAGAGACTCATCTCCCAGGTAAAGTTGCACAACATTATTTATTACAATTTTTGGATGTCGCAGTTGATTTGATGCAGGATTTTAATCTAGCTATTAAGAATTAATATCTTAGTAACTTAATATATCTACCCATATTATATGTTAAAAATGTATAAATAAATATCAAGTTGTAAGGAATGTCCTACATTTTAGGTCTACCTTGTTAAAACAATTAATAGACACTTCAGACTTATCCTTATTTGATTGATAGTCTTTAAATTCTTGACTTATATGTATGTAGCATTATATTTGTAAAGAAAATCTAATAAATATGGTTAATTGATTATCATGTGTTAAGTATATGGAAAATTTGTGTATTCTCTGATTTAAATAGATGTTCTCTGTAATTTCTGAATGTTTTCCTGTTATATCAGAATAATGCTCTATGACCAGATGCTTTATGGTAATCTGCTCAAGTTAAGCTCTTTGATACTGAAACCTCTTTTAACCAAAATTGGCAATTCTAAATTTAAAGTTGGGCAAGTCTATAAAACAAGTTAAGCTGTGTAAGAATTGTTTACAGTCAGATCATATGCTGTAGAACAAACAAATAACTGCTCTTACTATGGATGGATAATTTATGTTTCTTTGGTTGACACCTAATGCAGGACTCTGTCTATGGAATCACCAAGATCAGAACGTCCTAAACCAAAGGTGGATATTTTTGGAAGAAAGGAAAAACATGTAGAGCTTGATGATGAATCAGAAAATTTACCATCCACTCGCGAGCGAAGACGTTTCCAAAAAGATGATAAGAGGACACCTGCATCTCAAAGAATGTCATCTGGCAGGCATACCCCAACAGGGAGGAAGACGCCAACTGGAAGAGAAACACCCACTGGGCGTGAAACCCCAACTGGCCGTAAAACTCCAACTGGTCGCACTACACCTTCCAAAAGATTTTCTAAAGCTGATTCTAGAGGTATGTTATTATTATTTGCAATTATTTCTGTAAAATGTCACAATAACTATTTCAGGAACCTGCTTGACATTTCATTCAGTATCATAAGCAAAATTCAATGCTTTGATTTAATGCAAGTTAGAGTAATGAATGATGAATTTATAAGCAGTTTCATTACCAGACTTTCTGAATTTTGTACTAAATGTTACTTACTTTGCAACAAAAATTTGCCAAATAATCATAGTGGAGACTCAAGCTTATAAATTGAAGGCTGTAGTCATATTTTTTCATTCTTTTAGTATTTGTTAATTTAAGAGAGTGAAGCTTAAGCTTAGATCTGTTTTTTGTATTGAAAATGGCATGATTTTTTGGCAGTTCTAGCTAATATTTCATGAATTTCTTTTTTTTATTTTATCTTAGTTAATTTTACTTGCTTTGCATATTTATGTGAAGACATGATTTTAAAGCTTATGGAAAGTTGGTGGTGTTTTGATCAGTTAACCCGAAACTTTTCTGTTTTTATTGATGTGACATACTGCAAAAGATAAGTAATGGACAAACATAATAACTATTATCATCTCTGATGTTATTTTAGAAGAAAATGAGGACACTAAAACAAAAAAGGAACCAGGGCTGTTTGACTTCCTGACTGATGATGCTCCAACTGATAAGCCAAAGCCTAAAACAAGAACTGACCATAGAGTTGGGAGCGGTCGACAAAGCAATCTAAAGAAATCTGTGTCACATGACTCTATTACTGATGAATTTAATGGTAAATATTTAAGGGACTATAATATTATAGTTAAGAATGATATCATATAGCAACCAATAAGATTTGATAAAGTTTCACATTTGTACATTTTATTTCATTTTCAAAAATGCTCCAGGATAATCATACATGATAATAAACTTATCAGTTAGTTGTTAATAGAAGAAGAAAAATATGAGGCAAATTATAGTATTCTTAGTCTTATAACAATTATTAAATGTGAAAGGAAATATTTTCTATTTAAAATATGTTTACAGTATTTAACTATATCAAATATAATTTACACATGTATTGTTCGTCCATATCAAAACAGGAAGAACGCAGAGTATTTGATTAAGTTTTTCACAAGTTTTGTGAACACTGAACAATTGTCACTTTAGTTGTTAAAAAACTTTGTATTTATGACACATTTTATAAATGGCATTAACAGTTTTTCTAATAGGCTAGAAAGGTCAGTTTTATATTCTTGATTTTTTTCTGTTATATAAACAGTGTTCATTAGGTGTCCCGCTACTATATAATTTTGTGATCAATATCCTTCTGATGTTAATTAGTTTCCAAATTCAATCAAAGTTAAATTTGTTATGTTTAAAAGTATCACCCTTGTCTCTTGGAAGATTTTCTCTACCATCATGTATGATTTATACTGTAAGGGAAGGAGACTATTCTCTTAGGGGACAAGTTTATACTGTTGAACCTTTACAGAGTTCTCAATAATTTACCATTAACTTTCTGCTAATTTTCCGCCCAAACAGAGCAGCCAAGTATGTATGAGGAGTCTACCAGAGATGAACAGACCAGTAAAAAAATTCCCAGTGATCAAAGTTCTGTATGCTTCGAGCTTGATCGTGACCCAAATAAAGAAGCAGAAAGATTACAGGAAAAAGAAAAACGTTTGACGTAAGTTTTTGATCATTTCTTTAAAAATGTGTATGGAAGTACTGCAATTTTTATACATGTTCAAAGAAGGAAAGTTTTAACTAGTTCGGAGAATTGACTCTAAATTTGCATGATTAAAGAGAATCATAATTGAAAAAATAATTGAGGGTCACCATCATACTTCTTGAGTTATTTGCCCCATAAAGTGATATTTTTTACTCTCTATGTCATTTTCAAGAGCATATAACCCAAAATTGTGACGTTGATAAGTGAGGGGTTTTTTTTACTACATATATTTTATTGTATGAAATATTAAAATCACTTGAGCTTTTAGGAAAAAGTTGAAATTTAGAGTAGGGCATGTTGATGACACACAATAAGTAAAGTTAAGGTGGATGTTTAAATAAATTAATGATGATTATAAGAATTAACTGGGTTTTAGGAAAAATACAGAATTTCTAACATTTAATTTTGTAGAGAGCATCTTAATTATGATAAATGTAGAAAAACATCAGGGATTTGTTATGATAATAAAAAATCAGAGGATACATCTGAAATGATGTTATCATGAGTTTGTATAAGATTGGATAATATCATTTTAAAGAGTGGAAGAAATGCATAATTGTAATAGCATATTGAAAAGTAATGGTTTTATAGTTTTTTGCTTTGAAGAATTCATATTGAAGATGTTACAAGCCTTCCTAAATACATTGTTACTTAGATAAAGAAAAAAAATCAGATAATTGCAAATGTAAAGATAAAAATTTCAGTTTTTAACTAAAATAATTACTGAAGGCCTTTGTCACCAATATTGAGTCAGGCCATTCTGCTTATAAAGGCAGTCTAGTCAGGGTCTATGCTTTTACCGGCTTAATTTCAGAATTTTTATACAGAAATAAATCAAATCCTTTAAATAACACATGGATTCTTCCAAAATGAGAGCAGGGCAAGTGCATTATGCTCGGTATGGATAAAGTCACTTGTGGTAATCTTATTATTTCAAGCCATGTATTATAACATTTTATTGTGTATATTACAGTTCAACCAATCAGAGGAGTGATCGTAAAGCAGCTGATGATATCATATCACGAGTTGAAGATGCTCAATCGGATCCTAAACAAATCTCACAGAAAGGACCTACCAGTGCTAAGTATGTTACATTATTATTAAGACACTTGTAGGAAAAAATGTTGAGTATTTTCATAAAAATTCTTTTATAAGTTTACAAGTTTGTATTAAACCTTAAGCTAAATAGTAGTTCAATTTATTTTGGTGAAATAATAACTTTGTTGCTCTTCATTTAAAGATTATTTCTTTCTGACTGTGTAATTAAAACATAGGGGTTTATAATAAATAAAAACCAACATTTTCAAGGATTGTCTTAATTGAGCTTTTTATAAAAACACCATGTCCTACTCTAATTATGCTTATTGTGCTAGTTGAATAAGTGAACCAGTAAATTGTAAGCTATGACAACAGGGAATCTATTTGACCTACAGACAACACAAGTAATATGATCAAGCTCTAAAGACATGTTGTGTTATATAACATTTTGATATTACTAACATAATTTGTCCATGATAAACTGCTGATGTATGCTGAAAAACTTGCAAACAACTAAAGAAGAATTCAAGGTGGTAGAGTATTACAAATCGCTACAAACAGTATTTTTTTTAAACTTTAATTGAGATTGTGTTCAGTTATTGTTGATGTCCTGTTCCACATGCTTTAAATAATTCAAAATTGACTATGTATTTCCTTTTTTCAAAAACCAAAAATATATAATTTGATTCAAAACCTTAAAATAGTATGAATGACATTTATATTACAGAACACATGATGCGGTGCTGCGACCCAAACCACGTCATACATTACCTGGCTCCCGACCTAGTTCTACTGCTACAGATTATTCAGTTGATGCTTTTAACAGTACCACATCTATAAGGCAGGCAATATTTGATGAATGGAAGAAAGTTAAAACGAAAGAAAGTGTGAAGAAAACACATGAACAAAAGAAGAAAGAGGAGGAAGAACAGAAGAAAAAAGAAAAGGTGATCCCATTGTTCTGTTAATCACTTAACACATATACCGTTAAAACCTAAATGAACGTTGAAAGAAAACCTATCTTTTACCAGAATGTTCTGTTAAATTGTAAATTAAATCTATGAAATACTAAATTACCATTATTATTATTTGGTATGGAAAACCATAGATTTAATCCACAATTTAACAGACCTTGTCTTCAGGATTTGGACATCTGTGGCCAAGTGGTTAAAGTAGTTTATTTCTAACCACTTGCCTCTCACCGCTGTGGTTTCGAATCCTGACAAAGACTTTGGATTCTTTAATGTGAGGAAGCTATCCAGCTAGCTTATGAAACATCATTGGTTTTACTCAGGTGCCGATTTGTGCCTGAAATAATACACGTAAGGGCACTAAAGGATTTCACACACCAGTATAGCTGGAAAGTCACTAAATTACCTTTACTGTGTTGTTGCAATGTAAGACCCAGCTCCACCCACCCAGTTCCCCTCCAAAAGTCTTCAGAGTTAAAACTGACCAAGGCCCATTACATAGCATGTGTGAAATAAGTAATCTTGAAACTTTTATCTTAAAATGAAGCTTTAATGGTGTTTACAAGTTTATATAAAATGTTACATAGATAAATCATCTTATAGATTCATTTAAACTTTCATGAACAATGTCATACAAAAAGCAGTGCAACCTGTTTGGATGTCCATGGACTTTTATCTTGAGAACAGGACCATGTTTAGCTTGAAAACCAGAAAGTATCATAAATATTTTGATTATTCCAGGATGAAAAAGATAAGAAGCTAGAGTCTCTTGCCTCTTACAATGCCTGGATGAAACAAAAAGAGGAAACATTTATAAAAGAAAAACAACAGAAAAAGAGGGAGGAAGAAAAGAAGCAGAAAGAGAAGGAAAGAGAAGAATTACAGAAGAAAAAAGATGCTCAGAAGGTATATATTGATAGTTATGTTGAAAATCCGAGTCAGATTTTACATTCACATGTTTAACACATCCTTTAAATGACAATTTATTGAATGAAGATATGATAGAAAGGGCTCAGGTTTGCATATCAAAGATTCATATATTTAAGGCTTTCCATACCACATTCAAAGTACTGGTAAGTTATTATTTCATTGTGAAGTTACAGCCTTAGATGACTTATAAGTAAATATATAATATGTTTATAATATGTTTATAATTTTGTATATTTCTACCAGACTTTATGAAATGGTATGTTTGTATATAATTTTACAGGACTTTATGAAATGGAAGGAAACAAAAGATGAAAGATTAATTGAGGAGCATAAAAAGAAAGTAGAAGAAAAACACAGAAAACAACAGGAGGAGAGACAGGCCAAGAGAGAAAAAGAAAAACAAAATGAGACAGCGTTCAAAGGATGGTAATTACTGTGAAAATATTTCAATTCTACACAAACTGTGTAATTTTAATTGAGTCAAAACAAAACTGTTAGATCATATTGCGCCTTTTCAGCTCTGTTGGGAGGAAGACCTTGGGCCCCTTCTCTGTGCCATATTTCAAGCATAAGTGCTCACCTGAGTAGAACCACTAACCTTTATGAAAGCTAACTGCTTAGCTTCATCACATACACAAGTTTGATAGAATAATGGAGTTTAATTTAATTTCTAAGTCACAGTTTGTTTTATTTATAGAAATTGAAACTATGTCCAAGTTAAAGCATATCACACAGCTTCATATTATCTCTTGGTCGGCTTGGGGCAACAGATTCTATTTATGCAACCAGTACAGACCAAAATCAGCGTGTACATATATGCTGTCCAATCTTTGTTTGATTGCTTGCTATTTAGTCAGTTAATATTTTGAAAGTTACCCTACAAAGAAAGAATGATTCTGTCCAGACTTAAAGGTGGAAGTCTATTTAAGATATTTAGCATTATGTAGGGTAAATATTGGACTTATCTGGAATTTACAACTCTCAGTACATACTGATGAGCCACTGTATTGTTGGATACTTGAATAAAGTTTAGTAAAGTCAGTTTAAAATCTCTTGGATCAACGGTAGACAATCAAAAGGCTATATCATCTTTTATTTTACAGGAAAGTGAGAAAAGATGAGAAAATCAAGGAAAGCGTTCATCGTCAACATGAAGAAAAATTAAAAACAAAGAAAATTATGATGCAAACACAAAAAGAGAAAGAAAGGAGTGCTCTAAAAGAATATAATGAATGGTTAAGGAAAAAGGTAGGTCAAATTTTTAGATTGTGTCAGGCCACTATTATGATATAGGGATATAATAACCTGTACAGAAAATCCTCTGAAAACATACAAATTTATTGTGTTTTGTTACTGTTGTTTGTTTATTTGGGTTTAAGACATATTGACATAGTTATAGACATATGAAAAGTTTCCAGCTTTTTGACTTAATGTCATTGTGCGTGATATCTTGTCCACCAAAGGGAGCCTGGACAGTTCTAGCTAGATAAAGGCAAAAACTGCAGTGCTTTTTCACACTTGTACATACAGTTTCAATGAATTAGCAGAGAAATGGTTTTATCATATTTTCATGAACAAAACATACAAAAATTAATCCCAATATTTGTATAACCATGCATGTTTTTTTGTTTTTTTTTTTGTTTTTTTTTACTTAATTTACTTGAGGCCAGATGGAAGATTGGGTAACCAAATGTGAACTGCCACACATACTAACTTACATTATGTACAACAATATATGCATGTTAAAGTATCATCAATTCTTGCTACTTGCCCCATATTTGAAAACCTTGTTTATTCAGGAAAAGCAGCAAGAAATTGAAGCAATGAAGAATAGACATCACCATCATGATGATGATTATTATGATGATTTCAAGCCGGCCTGGAGCCCGGCTAGCAAACTCATACCATGTGGACGATAGGGGAACCATTATCTAATTTTCATGGTGTGAAAAAAAAATATATCAAATTGTAGCATCACATGGCAAATCATAATTTGATGGGCTTTTTTTTATTTGAAAAATATTTTTTGGTAATATTGTTTGTAGCAAAAAAAAAATGCCCTATATATTTGATCTGCTTGAAAGATGAATTAGATTTCTTCGTATTTGTGTGACACTTCATATTACCTTAAATAGTTTCTAACAGTTCTTCCTGTTGTCTAGTAGATTTAGGGTATATTTTCAGGTCAAATGTCATTTTCTACTCAGCTACCACAAACATAGATTTAGAAATATATTTATCTTATATCTTTTTATAACAGATTGAAATTAACATTAAAATTTGGTCAAAAAGGAAAAAAAGATTGTATTCAAATATCAAACTCAAAGTTAAAAATATAACAAAAATTGTAAAAGTATGCATGATATTATGACAATGGAATGAAATGATATGGATATCTTGTGCTGTGTTAGCATTGTACTGTCTTCACAATTTTGTAAATGCTCATACCAGTGGATTTGTTCAATGACAATAAGGAATTCTGAATTAACGTAACCCATTACTGCATTAGCATTTTGTGAAAAATGGCTGTTTTTATTGAAAAGCCTCCTGTTAAAAGTTCAGATTGGTATGAAACTACAAAAAAAGGTTTCAATACTGTTCAAACTTAGCACAAATGTTGACTGGACCATAATCTTTGTTACGGCATACTCAATGTTAAGTTTCCTGTTACCATGGCAATCAGGGGACATCTCAAAATTGCAAAAAGATCACGTTGATTTTTTCCATCAAAACTGATTTTAAAGTGCTGCAACTTCTCAATGGTTTGAGATAGAGTAAAAGGCTTTTCAGGGTTGGTTACACATAACTGTAAGGTTGACCTGAGGCCATTTCTAGCCTCTCACAAGTCCAAAATTTTCTTGGAGATAAGGGATGGCGCTGCAAAAAGTGATCTTTTTTTTCACTATTTTTCTAACAAAAAACAGTGTTTCGGGCCTGAGATAGGGCATTTTTTCACTATATGAGGCTCCTAGAAGGTGGGGGGGGGGTATGAAAAACTGTCAAGACATGTCTTTATGAAGTAATGGGTTAATTGTTGTTACCTATGTTCTGATTTGCTATGTTGCTTTCTCTTCTACATTTATGTTTGCCACTGTTTTGTACAAAATGGTTAAAATATGCAATTAGCTAAGTACCACATCTTGCAATTACAAGCTTGTGCTTCTTCCATTTACTGTACTTTTCTTCGGAGCCTATATATTTTAACTTTTAACATTTCTGTCAAAGTAGACTTGTTTGTTTACTGAAATGTAACTATGTAACATTCTCATACATTCGTCATATGTTATTTCCTGTATTTATAGCACACACAAAGCACATATAATATCACTTTTTTCATTCCTATTCTCTTTCAGCACTGATTAGGTTTTCCCTTTTAATATTGTTAAATGATAGAAAGCTATATTGGGTTGTTATCTAAATCTTCTGAATAATATTTAACAAAAGTTAAACTAAAGTACCAAAATTGAAACAATAATGTTTAAGTAGGATCAATATGTAGGAAACATCACTTAACACACTCAATAATGTAGTCAAATATTTTGTTATCTTATATACCAAAAAGTGTCATTTTGAGACAAAATTAGGGCCACTTCTTATAAGTGATCTGTCTTATTGGTGAATAATTACAGTAATTTATGTTAGATAAATAACAAAGACAGTCTTATAAACTTAAGATATATGAATATGAATATGAAATAACATGACTATAGTTTTCTTTATTTCTACGGGTACACCACACTCATTAATAAAAATTTTGTATCATTTAAATCATCATCAACAGTGATTACAGTTATCCTAGATGCATTCATTCATAATATTTGTACCGGTAGTTACATTGTCTCCCCTTAACAAAAGAAATTAATTTTTAAGGTAAATTAACATTGTTCAGAACATACTTGCAGGAGGATATAAAGAAGATAATTGAATTAGCTACAACTGATGATATACTGTTTCATATGTGGCATTTGTTTATTAAACAGTTCATTCAGTTTAGCTTTTATTAAATCAACAGAGATTCTTGGCTTTCAGTTAGCCTCCTAGCTTTGATTTAACATTTTATCATACTGAGCCTATATTGAGTTGCCAGTGTGATTTGAATACATTTCTATGTAATTCCATCTTATTGTCTTTTTATTTGCTGGTCTTTCTAAAAAAAGAAGTGATTGCCAAGTCCATTTCCATATTTTTCCTGTATGATTTCAGGAGATACAAGAAGAAAAAGAGGCACATTTACGTAAACTTAGGAAACTTAGAGAGGAAGAAGGGGAAGATTTCCGACCACCATGGAGTCCCGCCAGTAAAATTATCCCATATGGTTCATAGCCAAACCTAACTTATTATTCTGTATATAATCAGCCATAAGTCGACAAATATGTGTACATATGAATGGGTTGTAAAACTCCCCTTTGACTTATGCCTGATTTAATAAATTAAGATAATTTAAAGATCTAGGCAACTTCATCTTCAGTTTAAATTGCTGTGCTTTAATTGTGTATAAATTTACCCAAGGGCAAAATCAATCTAGGTTGCTGACATTTTTTTTTTGATGCCTCAGAACTTTCAGGTAGATCTTTTTTTTCGTTGTTATTTTTTTACAAACTGAATATGACTCAAGGTTGTGCAAACGTTGAACATGCTCGTGTTTTGTATAAAGAAGGAAAAGAAGTAATGTGTCCATTATAAATCATAAAATGCCTTTAAAATATGTTGTTGTTTTTTAAAACTAGCTCAAATGGCTTTGTCAAAAGTGTATGTTCTTCATTATTTATTTTAGGAAGATAAAAGTCTCAATTTTAAGGATATTATGTACACAGTACAGTGTATGATAGCAGTCAAGTGTTTGGGACTGATTGTTTTTTATAGTTTTTATTCATTGCATAATTTTTTTAATTAAATTGCATCTTGTTTAGTTATGATTTTATTGTCAACATCAGTAAAATTATGTCTCATTATTGTATGTGAATGTATATATTGTAGTCATCAATCATCTTCACTCAAATGTATATATTTTAAGATCTTGGAGACCATAGATTTGATTATACACAGCTTTTTGTTGATATTAAAATCCATGTCCATTTTTATGTCTCTCCTTTTTATGTTTATAAATGAACTGTATTGATGTGGGACCAACCTAGAAGTTAATATACCAATACTGGATATGCGTTCAGATTTTTGTCATTCGTTACTTGGCTTCTAATGTTTTATTACGCTGAAACATGAGTGTCATGAATGATATGATAAGATGTATTTTTTTATGTTGAAATTGCTTTTTATCATTTATTTTATTACTTTCAAATGTGCGTACATGTATTTATTGTTCCATTATTTTATTTATTGTATTTTATTCAGTAGCATTGTCTGTGATACATATGTTGTGTAATACATTTCAGTTTTGTAACTTGACCCATACATTTAGTTTCTAAAAAAAAAATGAAGTTGAAAATATTATTCAAATTATTTTTGTTTTTCCATTTTTAAACTATTACAATAATAATAGGGTAAGCAAAGTGTATGTTTCTTTTTCCACGATTAAATTTGGATTCATTGTTCTCCTTCATGCAAAAAAAAAATGGCTGTGTGACATACATTTCACCTAAAATCAAAATTTAAAGATTATTTCATCCTTCGTTATGACATTCTAAAAACAATATGGTGACAATTCAGTAGAAAACTTTTGTTCATATGTAAATGGCTCTAGTGTCACACTGCAGCAATGTTTGGTACAAGTTCTTCATTTGAAATGTTTCCTGTATACACATGATGTGAATTTCTGGTTAGTAATAGAAATGTTTTAGCCTGTATTGTTTAAATGTTAATGATTATATGAATATGGCTAATAATTATGTAGAATTAAAAAAATAAAAAACAGAAATGTCTTCTTCATTTTCATTCAGTGTTTTAGTAAAATCTATGCAATTGTATTTAAAAAATGTTTTTTTTTTCATGGCAGTTATGCAGGAAAAAATGGTTGGCATGTAAAAGTTATAATGTTTCCATTGTTATCTTGTGTAGAATAGTTCTATAATTATGGACTATGTACAAATGTTTATAATTGCACATAGAGATATTTCAATTTTATCATTGGCACAGTTGGTTTAGTTTTATATTTATTAAATTTTAGCTCAATTGCTGAACAATTTCTTTCAACACAATCATTTCCAGTCTGCCTCCTGGAAGTAGCCAGTACTTGAGCCATATAAGGAAACCTGGTTGTGACCTGAGTAGGACTTGAACCAATGATCTCTGGGTTGAGAGGCAGACACCGAAACCACTAGGCCACCACTCCCTAATTGATACAATTCCTTTATTAGCTGAGTCTGTCTGATTATATTCAATGTAATGGCCTTGTACTAATTAATATGTTGAGCATGTGCTTTTAATTAAGAACAAAAAGACAATAGCGAATCTGACCATGCTCATACAAAGAGTTTCTTTTAGTTCAAGTGTCACCTGTCAACCAACCAATTTAGGGTTTTGGATGTTGTTTTTATACAAACATGTTTTCTCCTTCAACATGATCATTGGTTGTTTCAAGGTAGAGACCCTTGATATATATCAGATCAAAGATGAATAAAAAATCTGACTAAGAACATGAGGCTGCTTTATGTATCCATTGCAGAAAGTTAAAGATTATTCTCTTTAAATGTAATTAGACAGAAGACTACATGTGATGGATCTCAGACATTAAGAAGGTAAATACCAACATCAGGTAGTTAAAAATTAATGTGGTCAAAGTTAATTTCTTTACAGCTGTATGCGTCCATGGGTGAGGGAATATTTAAAAGAAAAAAGATTAATGGTTTCATAAATATATAAGTATTCACAATCAACATATTTGGAACTATCCCCTTTTTTTAGCAAAATAATTTGTATGCCAAGGTTTCAATGAAATTTTAACATTATTCTGGATGCAATAAGAAATTAGCATGAATCTGAATGCAATTAAAAATTAGCATAAATCTGAATTTTAGGATGCAATAAGAAATTAACATGAATCTTGGGATGCAATAAGAAATTAGCATGAAGTTGGATGCAATAAGAAATTAGCATGAATCTGACTGTAATAAGAAATAATTAACATGAATCTTGATGAAATAAGAAATCAGCAGGGATCTGGATGCGATAAGAAATCAACATGAATCTGGATGTGATAAGAAATTAGCATGAAATTGTAATAAGAAATTAACATGAATCTGGATGTGATAAGAAATTAGCATGAATCTGGATGTGATAAGAAATTAGTATGAAGTTTGGTATAGTAAAAATTTACATAAATCTGAAGGCAATAAGAAAATCACATGAATCTGGATGCAATATGAAATTCACATGAATCTGGATGTAATAAGAAATTCACATGAAGTTGGATGTGATCAGAAATTCACATAAATCTGGATGTAATAAGAAATTACAATGAATCTTGGGATGCAATAAGATATTAGCATGAAGTTGGATGCAATAAGAAATTAGTTAATAAGGAATAAGCTTGAATCTAGATGTAATAAGAAATTAGCATTAATCTGGTTGAGATAAGAAATTAACATGAATCTACGGATGCAATAAGAAATTGACATGATTCTGAATGCAATAATAAATTCACATGAATCTTAGGATGCAATATTTAGAAGTGCTAACTAACTAGAAGAAGTATTTGCAGGAGGATCTTACATTAAAGATTGATTTTTAGAAACAACTATAGTTTTCATTAAGTCACAGAGCTGTATTTAAGATTTAAATGGAGATGAAGCTTTAATGCCATTAACACTTAAAATCTGCATCAGCAATTAAAGGGACTCAACTGAAGTTTTTTGACATGATGGGACTGAAAATATTTTTTCCAAGCTGGCATGACATTTATGGCCATAAGTAATCCCCATTTAATGTTCTGTTTCCAAGACACTTAGTCTATAACTTTTAGGCCATAGGGAGAAATATGGTTAACTGGCTATTAATTACACATAGCAGTTTTCAATTTCTGTTTTAGTTCCATGACACCAATATATTTTCTTTAACATTTTATAGGTGTGTATTATAATTAATATGCCAATTTTATCTTTTTTTTTGCTATTTGCATGATATCATTAAAGAGCAGACAGGTCTCTTGTCTACCTTCTCAAATTGCATAAGCAATTATCAATATTTAGCACTTTAGAGCCTAAAGCCCTGTAGTATATCACGATGAAATAAATAAAACGTAACACCGGTTGTTAGAATTTACTCTAAAAAGGTAAATGTTTTTGTGAAATTGTGAAATGATTGATAAAGAAAATTTACGTAATCATACATTTATTCTAAACAATCAGTTTTATTCTGTTTTATAGCTTAAGTTGTCGGGATAACAAGAATTAATTATGATAAATATTTATAACGATTCGTCCCACTGGCGATTCGTACATATTGTCTTTAATAAGTCTAACTCTAAGGCCTTAGCATATTGAGGGTTGTAATAGAATGTGAAATTGACTCCATTTCGCGAAATGCACTTGTTGCCTACGAAATGCACATTTGTTTAACAAGATTATGGATAAATCGTGATAAATAATATCATTTTTATTAGGGCTGTCATAGCTAAAGTTGCTAAAATAAAATAATAATAATAATAATAAAAAGAGACTTGAGCGAACAGGTTTTATAGTACTGCTACTGCTAGACCTGTTCGCCGAAACCAATCCCATTTCTAAAGTCAACCAGAACCGTGATATATTTATGTCATGCTGTAATTCAATAAATTTGCGTGATCTGGACAAAAGCTATTTTAATACAGGTATACTCGAACCCCATGATACCGGTGACTCCACTGTACCGGTATATTAACAAATCTCGCGATATCATTGTCAACGCCACCTACCGAGTGTTTATCTTGACATGCTCCCAGTAATACTGGCTATTTCAAAGTTTTTAAACATTTTCATGAGTTTATGAAGGAAATATTTCACATATCCTACCTTATTTTATTTTACTATCCTATTTCTCCATTGCATAAATTGGTCTCTCTACAAAACATTTTTTTTTCCAAAAAAAATAAAAAAATGACTGGTGCAGACGTCATTCAACCTCCATTACATGTCACTTGACCTTTTGACATCATTTTTGGCGGGAAAAAATTAATCTATGGAAAGCCAGGGTTCGACACTAACTGTTTTTACCAGGGATCCCATAGGAATCCCTGAGATTTAATTCAGGGATTCCTCCTAAATGTCAGGGATTCCTCAGATCAAAATAGTAAAATATGGAGGTGAAGAATAACAAGGGATTGCAGCAATTCAATTTCAAATTCTTTTCATTTTTGAGACTATATACAGGATATATTGTCTTGTTTCAGATGCAGAAAATGTAGTTTCTAGTTTATGAGCTCTTTGGAAATAATGCTATTTAAAGTTTTAAAAGCGTTTCAAAGTATATATTTGGACTGCTAAGATAAATTAAAACATAATATATTTTTACATGAACATGGAAACAGAATAACATTAAGCTCACTGAACAAGAGTTCGATTTGAAAATAGCTTGCTAAAACCCGTTTTCTCCCTGGAGTTGATAATTGTGAACCAGTTTCTGTATCTAAATGAAGGTATAATGCATGTGACTTGACAAGGTGGTTTGAATTTTTGAAGTTAAATAGGAACTGGGGAAACATTTTCCCAGATAGCCTAGGGTTCACTGAAATAGAGCCCACTTATCATATGTAGATCTTTAAAAAGTTACAGGTAATGATCAGGCTCCATATTCCAGAAAGGTCTGGTATGGATAACTGTCTATAATTATTTACTTTCATGTCATTTTTAAGGAAATTCTTAATTATAATCACTTTAAAAAAATATTTGATTTCATTTTACATTTTTGTGTTTAAAAGGAAAAATCCCATAGATTGTTGTAAATTAAATATTTTGATAATCTTTTACTTAAGCTAATAAAAATATCAAGAAACAGTTTTGTTTGCATTACAAGTACGGTACCTTTAAATGATTTCATTTTTAAAAATGATAAGTTGCTCCAAGTCCCTGACAGGATGGGCAATATCCAAATTTATTGTTCTCAATTTTTACACTGAAATGTCCGATCCCTTTCCTCCCTGTGTATTGATTTTTTTGTAAGTTTTGACACCTGTCACATCAAAGGCACTCACCCCATACAAGCAGTCATGTAGCTAACAACACTGATTGGCTAAAAGCACTGTCAGATGAAATATACGTCATTTGCTGTATATTTCGTCATTTGCTGTATGTTTCATGTAACGCGTAAGGATTTTTTGTATTTCTTGTCGGTAAATAATGCGTGACCTTGATTGAACTTAGACTTTAGTTAGACAATGTTTTTTAATTTAGCATTGAAGGCTGTGAGTTTCAAAAAGGATTTTAAACTTAAAAGTATGGATTCTTTTTATTTTGTTTATTAATTATACTTTTGCTGTAGTCTACTGTAGGGAGAAAAAATACACCAGTTATATTTTTTTCACAATTTTGACGAAAATTTACAATGGTCACAAGTGCCGAATTTTGGCAATAAAAAAACAAACAACAAACACTGGATAACTGTACAGTAGCTACCGCCGGCATTGCCGATCAACACAAATTTGAAGTACACATCGCTTGTGTAATAATTATACGATAATTACATTTCTTTTTTGAATTTTCACAACTCTATTTTATGAAGTCAATGCATGATATAAAATTACTGTATACAAGAATGTTTCTTCAGTCAAAACATTTTTGTCATTTTATATCGCAAATGAGTTGATAGCAGTCACTGCACAAAGAAAAACTAAACATAATTCAAGAGTGTAGATTTTACCGGCGGGGTTTTTCTTTTCTTTCTTGAACCACTTTTCTTTAATATTTGTGATTCAATGACATTAATTCAGAAAATTTCAAAAATTTACACAGCAATTTTTCAGGGATCCCAACGGAATCCCCAGCTAGGAATCACAGGGATTCCTCCCGACTTTTTGGGATCCTCGGAATCCCGGGACCCCGTTAGTGTCGAACCCTGAAAGCCATTAGTGCATATAAAATAGTTTGTGAAAATTAAAGTCAGTTTCATTCAGTCTTTTAAGGGAGCCTGTGTTAAGTGCTATATTGATATTTTATCTTCATCATATAGAAATAAAATTGATTCAATGATATAAAATGACCAGAAAATCACAATAACACTAAAATTAAGTGAAGGGAATTTTTGAATCCAGCTACATATACACCTGTAATTGGGAGGAAAAGGTTCTAAAACAGAGATCCCTTGGGAGTCATAAAAGATGAACAGTAAATTATTGAAACACACGTTTTTATGTTGTTATAAAGTGTTGTTTTTTTTTCAGATATTATTATTAAATTAATACAAGAATGCTAAAATGATATATTTGCTATTAAAACTGCGATGGCTTTCCAAATAAATAACATTTTTACCAGTGCACTGGTCTGTTTAACTACGTCATACAAAATGGTCGACCATTGTTTACATTGGCAATGAGCGAGAATTTCAGAGTAACAGAACTCTGTAATGTATTTTAAAGAGGATTAAATGTTAATGAAGTTGTTTATTCCTTCTTTTTTTTCAAATCAGAAAAATTTTATATGAAAAACACCTTGTATAAAATATGTACACCGGTATCGTGGACACCCGGGCTAGTTAGATATATTTGGGACGAATTAGTAACGATTCGCCACACTAACGATTCGCCACATAACGATTCGACACAGAGTAATAACGATTCGCCACAGTTAAATAACGATTCGCCACAGTATGATTATAACAATGATTTTTTAGTAATCAACAAACTTTTTCCTTTTGTTTTAATAATTTGACAATGACAATAATTTAATAATGTTTCTTGATACAAGTAATATGAAGTGAAGGCCCCCATCGCGGATTTCAATTTATCAAAGTAACATTATTACAGGAGTACATTAACAAGAAAGTAATTATATGTTGAAATAATTATTGAATTACTCATATATAAACATAATTATATGTCAATTAATATTTATATATAAATATATAGTTCATATATTATAATATATGTCAAATATTTAAACAAAGTATTGCAAAAACATGTGTTCATACGAAAATTGATCTACGATAATTGATTAAAGAACGCATATGTAAAACATTTGTCACACCTTTAATGTAAACAAGCCAATCACCTTAGGATTGTTGTAGAAATATTTAATTGACGCCGAAATAATCCTTTAATTATCTGACAATGTATTCAGATTTCAAAACAATGCGGCAATTAAGCTTATGTTTGTTTACAAATTAATTTGAGCGAGCCGATATATGCCGATTAAGAGGGTTTAAATAGCTTAAACACATACATAAAATAGTACACAAACGAAAAATAACGAAATCAGAATCATGCCAGCTCCTCCTTGTTCATTCTGTTTAAGATGTATCTACAGTAACCCACGTGCTCTTACATGTGACAAGTGTCAAAGATGGCATCATGTATAAAATGTGGAAACACAGCGTGGCTTGAAAAACATTTTGTTCTCAGTGCCAATTTTTTTGCTTTTGAGAAAAAAGCATATAAAGATTTAGTATTGCATAACTTTTTATCTTAATTGTCGGATTTTGAAAATTTAAAAACTACTAAACGTGGTGTCGGAGAACAACTCAATATCGTTAAAGATTTGTGGATTTTAATATTTCCTTGCTTTAAAACCTAAGAAAACATTTGGAGATAGAACAGTCCTTGTAACTTTTTTCAAAAATTGTTAAAATCAAAGTGTTCAATGTGACTTAAAACATTATGTCTTTCAAGTTGAATTGATTTATGTCACATAAAACAGAAAGGCTTCCAAAAATGTTCTCGGCTAATTATCCATTGTTTAGTAGTCTTTGAGACCACATTTATTTCGTAGACCATATGCATCTATGACATTTGAAATTTTATTTCCAGTACATTATTAAATGACATAATCATTAAAACAATAATATAAATAAATAAAGATAAAATACCCACATAAATTTGTAGACATTTTTTTTATCTATTTATAACTTATAGCAATTACAATTTAATACCTTCAAATTGATTCAATGTCTATAAAAAGAAAGCTGTAGGCGCAAACGGGATTAGTTAACTTTCAAATCCTTTAGAATGCTGGAAAAATCTTTCAAGATTTTTTTTCATGAAATTCAAAAGATGGTCAAATTCAAATTCCTTCCAAAAGTTCGCAATAGTAATTTTTATGTTGTAATGCGCTTTACACGTTCTGTTTGTATTCGTAAGAAGTTCTTCTAATTGTAGGTATGGCTATAACTTAAGTAGGCAATGAAAACATCTACTAGAAAAGACCTTAAAGGTAGTAGAAGGCATGACTTATCCATTTAAAAATGTCACATTTAAAGATTGTCCGTGTACAAAACATTACAAACATAATGGCATTTAAATATAATCAGAAATTCAAAGACAAATTACAAAACAAACTAAATATACGTACACGTATATTTTTCCAGTTTATATAAATAACGAAGTTATAAAATGTGTTATGTAATTTTGTTAATAAAATATTTGGTTTTCGTGTGTTTTTATTCAATAAAATGTGTATTTAGTGTAATTAATTTATGTAATTAACAAATGAAATATAAAACGGAAAAAGGTTTTCCATCAACAGTTTGAAAACAGATGTGAAAAAAAATGTATTTGAACACGTGGCGAATAGTTATTTAACTGTGGCGAATCGTTATTACTCTGTGTCGAATCGTTATGTGGCGAATCGTTAGTGTGGCGAATCGTTACATTACCTTTGGGACACTTCAGTCTATAATTTTGAACACAGAACGTTAGATTGATGAATAATGCCTAAAAGTTTATCAGTGGGTTCACATTTCATAAAATTCACCACCATTTCTGCCCTAATTATCACGTGACTAGCAAGAATTTATGTTCGGATACCTTTGCATGACATTTGGTGACCCTTGACCCAAAAGCTATTTTTAATTTTAAAACATGGCTTTGCAATTATGGATAATGGTGTATTTATTCAATAACAGACATTGTACCAAAACATGTTGGATTTATATTGTTTTGAGTGATAATTCATTGTTTGTTTGTTTTTATTTAAAATCATACACTTTCTAAAAATAGTGTATGGTCCATTACTAAAAATAGATGCTAAAATTCCCAAAACATGAAGTCCCGTGAGATTTCATTTGAAAGCAGACTCCATATTGGTAAACATTTTCTACATATTTCCCTAACAAATAGTTGGGTACACAATGTCATTGAAGTTTCATTTAAAAACAAAACATGAACTGATTCAAAATTGATTTGTTTATCAAATGGTATTTTTTATTTGACCCAAATTTGATTAATAAGGGTGATTTTAATAGGTTTTTATGTACGGCGAACGAACTGCCAAAATTCTGGTAGCCTTTGCAAATAGGGTTGACCCATAACTTTACTGTTGCACAACGTCAAAATAAAAGAGACATATAAAGTTATGGAAGCCAGAACTAGGGCTGGCATTGATGGACAATTTTGTATTTATATATTGAGAGACAAATATCGATGATATATTAATATATCATGTTTCGACTTCAGTTGATACAATGAAAACATTTAAATATGTGTTTAAAATTAGGATCATTGTATTATTCATGCTTGTATTAGACATTACAAATACTACAAACTAACAGAAAGCTTGTTTTTTTCTGTTATTTTTGTCACTGACATTTGAAAACAGAGTTTAAAGTACAAGTTAGCCAAGACAGCTGAAAAAAAGTGACTTCTCTTATTAGGCAAATAATACAGATATATTCATAAACAGAAATGAATTAATTTTAGCTTGTATTGATATTTGAAAGTGTGTATCGATATTGTATCGTATGATGAATATCGATGATATATCCATTCGATATCGCAATATTCAATGACAGCCGTTATTTTTATAGTCATATATACGAGTATAAATAATGAAAAAAGTATTGCCAAATAGTTTAAATTATAATTTTATATCATGTATCACTTGTTCAGAAGTAAACAAATTGAATGATAATATGAAAATTATTTATTTTTATTTTACATTTTCCGTTTTTAATGTGCCATTCCGTGTTTTATGCACTGCTTCCATTTATTTTATTGTTCCCTGGCCAATTATGGTTCCCATAGATGTGTGTAGAAGACCAGACTACAATTCGTTTTCAATCAGAATTCCGCAGCTTTTATCCTTATCTTGTAAGTTGAGATTGGTCTATTACCCATAATATTGCAATACTTCCGGCAAAAGTTTTCAAAACCATCACTATCTAGCAGGTACTAAAAAGGCTCACTTTGCCTTTTGGGCCTGCTCTTCAAGCTAGCTACATTTGTACATGTATTAACCCATTCCCATATAAAACAGTGGTAGAATTAGACACTCACTTGACCAATGTACATTTGATATGACCCAAAACAAGAAAATATTTATTGGAATACTACCAAAATGTTTGTGTATTTTTATTTTTCAGAAATTCTTTGATAAGGATGAAGATGATTTCATAAAAAAAACAAAATTAAATTTCAAATATGGCAAGCTCAGGTGTGGCGAGGAAAAAAAGTTCAAGCTCAAGTTCACAGGGGTCAGGAGGTCGCCAGTCAGCTGGTTCAACTAAATCGGCTGGTCGTGTAGCAAAACCCTCGGATAAGTTGAATCCTAAAACAATTGACCCGGTATGTGGATATAGTATTAAGATAAACTACACTAAGGTCCAAAGGCCTAAAAACATCAAATTTGAAATTCTTACATAGATCAATCGGGGCACTTAAACAGAAAGATACTTTAGAAAGATATGCAAAAGTTATTAAGAAACATACAATGTTCTTAGAAATAAATTAAAAAATCATATTTTTTTGCTTTTCATAGCCCAATTTGAGTGAAAAGCATTTCCCATTTTTGGTAATTTTTGACAATACATTGTAACTGATTAATCTTGAAAAACAGAGTGAGCGAATGATCTGAAATTTTGCACACAATCTACTGGTCTGGAGCTACATCAAATGGAACATTTATTTCGAAAAATTATTTCAAGTCCTATCATTTCAAAAACTTCTGTGCAATCCCTATAATATTAGCATCTTCTCTTATTACTTAGGCCAAAGACTGCAACAAGTATGTGGTGTTGTGAGAGAAATGTGTTTCTGAAACTGGTTCACAAATGACTCTTCAATGAATTATAATTAAAAAAGTAGACTTTGTACTGAAAGAATCTAGCTTAGATACTTGTTTGATAAAGCCCAGGCAATGTAAATTACATGTATTTATCTTCATAGAGACATTTATAAGCAATTAGATAAAAATACCATCATATTGAAAAAGAATCCTGATAAAACTTTTATATAGCTTTTGCATGTATGAATTATTTCAGTTTTCAAATTCTACGAAGAATCAGTCAGCTTTTGCAGCAATTTACTCAAATGGAGGAATCCCCTGCAGGTTTGTGAATTTTAGAATTTTGTTTTGATTTTGAAAATGTTTGGTTCAGAATGACATGTCAATACCACAAATGCCATTAGTATAAAGCTTTTTGAACCTTGTTATTATTATATCTATGCTGTTTGAAAGTTTCTATACAATTGTTGCTCTGGAACAGCAGTTTGACATTCAAATCCCATATCGCAGATAATAGACGGTTTCAAATTCGAAACAGAGCAAGTCCGATAAACAATTTATTACCGTGTATGACAGTTATAGCAGAGTAAAGGTTAAATAATCTTTTATTTGTTATTGAAGTAATGTGTGGCAATGTTGAGGTTATATTAACATATGTGAACTTGTTAATGTTGGCAATTCTATATGATTTTCAGTGTGAATGATATACAGCTATGACATAAAACTTACTGGTACTTTTATTTCAGGTTGACACATGGCTCTGTGAGACACAAGCTTGCCTGGGATACACCACCAGAACAGGTGCAGTTTGATCCTGTACTAGTCACATTGGCTGAGGTAAAGTACCGTTTGTTCAATTTTGTAATTATGAGAAATTAGAAAATTAAGTAATAAATAGACCAAAAATTGTACATGTAATATGTAATAGTAAATTGACTGGTTCTTTATATACATAAATAAGGATTGATGATTTAGTGACGGTTATTTACTAAATCAGTAATGGTGATATGTAGTGATAAATGAACCAGTAATGATTCATATGGTATAGTATTGGAGATATCTAAGGATTTATGAATCAGTAATGGTAATGTACATGTGTTACGATTTTGGAAACATTATTAGTTAATGGCATATAAAAGTAGGCAAGCTATATAATTGAATAAACATGTATTTATTTACAAGAGAGATAGTACATACTACAAAAATAAAAAACAAAATATGATATTTTAAGATGATCAAATAAAAAATTATCCCAACATTATGTGTGTAACTAGCATCAGTGTTAAATGAATCTAATGAATCATTTTTTCTACATGTACTTTCAGGGTTTAAAAGAAACTGTTCATCCATATACATTTGTTGCCAGGACAGGTTTTAAAGAATTACTAGAGGTACCAGGATGTGCTAATAAAGTTATACCACTCTTGCCTAAACTATCAGTTGCAATAAGAGGGGCTATTGTAAGTTAATTTTCTAAATTTCCTTGATTAACTCATTACCATACTTACATGCCTTTTAATGCCTTTTTGCTGCTTGTTAAAAAATGATGAATGGTTTTGTTCAGAATTGAAGATGGACAAGTCCATATAAGATGTTTTGCATGGTAAGGGTTCAAGATAATCTTACATTTTCACAGGTAGGGGAAGTGGCCCTTCTATTAAATATAGGGAAATATCACAATTTTTTTTTGCATGAATGGTAGAAAAAAATTGATGTAAATTGAATTTAAGGGGAAAACATGATTTAAAAAAAAATAATTCCAGAATGGAAGCAGCCCCTAAATGGCCATTGCTATAGAATGAGAGAGAAAAAAACCTTATACATGTATAAAACTTGTAAAATAACTACAAATGTATCTTTTTGCAAGTATCCAATTAAAATCATGAACATATTAACAATTACAAGATTTCTTTCAATCATTCATATTTGTTAATTTAGTGATACATGTTGCTTTAAATTTGTAACACCTGAGGTTATCCAAAATCAGTTTTCCTGTTTCGACGCCATATGACTTTAATTATGTTGGTTGTGCAGTAAAACCAAACAATTCAAATTATACATGTAATATAAACATGTTTGTTTTATTGTAGGGACATACAGACCCAACTGTAGTAACAGGAGGACTTGATGCTGTAGCCCAGCTGAGTGAAGTTGTGGGACCAGCATTAAATGCTCACATTAATAAACTCCTTGTTCCTGTAAGTTGTACTTCTCATTCTTCCTATTTGGGGTTAACAATGGAAAAAACCTGATAGTAGACTGAGAAATATTTGAGTTCAGCTTGTACAGGCCACCAATTTGAATTTTTGTCGCTTCACATTTTATGTCATAATTATAAAATACTTTTTTTCTAAGAATGACTAACTTTTCAAGGGGTACATTTGTAAGGGGAAAAGTACTGTCAATTATTATATATGTTTAGTAAATACCTATGAGATACTAGAACTGGTTACATGTTACAATGTTCAATAAGTGAATTAATAAATAATTTACCGTGGAATAATAGGATTAGTTTTTGTTATCTAGGTATCAAAACATATGACAGATAAAAGACACAAGGAGAAAGTTGTAGATACATTAAATATACTGGAGAATAATGGTGGCAGGGTATGTGACCTTTTTGTAGATTTATTTTATTATATTGAATTGATGAATTTAGTGATAATTATGCCCCCTTTTGAAAAAAAGGGGGTATATTGCTTTGCACTTGTCGGTCCGTCGGTCCGTCGGTCCGTAGACCAAATGGTTTCCGAGTGATAACTAAAGAACCCTTAGGCCTAGGAACTTCAAACTTGGTATGGTGATTGGTCATGACAAGTAGATGACCCCTATTGATTTTGGGGTCAAGGGGTCAAAGGTCAAGGTCACATTGACCTTGTAAGCAAAAACGGTTTCCGATCAATAACTAAAGAACCTTAAGGCCTAGGAACTTCAAACTTGGTATGGTGATTGGTCATGACAAGTAGATGACCCCTATTGATTTTGGGGTCAAGGGGTCAAAGGTCAAGGTCACATTGACCTTGTAAGCAAAAACGGTTTTCCGATCAATAACTAAAGAACCTTAAGGCCTAGGAACTTCAAACTTGGTATGGTGATTGGTCATGACAAGTAGATGACCCTATTGATTTTGGGTCAAGGGGTCAAAGGTCAAGGTCACATTGACCTTGTAAGCAAAAACGGTTTCCGATCAATAACTAAAGAACCTTAAGGCCTAGGAACTTCAAACTTGGTATGGTGATTGGTCATGACAAGTAGATGACCCCTATTGATTTTGGGGTCAAGGGGTCAAAGGTCAAGGTCACATTGACCTTGTAAGCAAAAAACGGTTTCCGATCAATAACTAAAGAACCTTAAGGCCTAGAACTTCAAACTTGGTATGGTGATTGGTCATGACAAGTAGATGACCCCTATTGATTTTGGGGTCAAGGGGTCAAAGGTCAAGGTCACATTGACCTTGTAAGCAAAAACGGTTTCCGATCAATAACTAAAGAACCTTAAGGCCTAGGAACTTCAAACTTGGTATGGTGATTTGTCATGACAAGTAGATGACCCCTATTGATTTTGGGGTCAAGGGTCAAAGGTCAAGGTCACATTGACCTTGTAAGCAAAAACGGTTTCCGATCAATAACTAAAGAACCTTAAGGCCTAGGAACTTCAAACTTGGTATGGTGATTTGTCATGATCAGTAGATGACCCCTATTGATTTTGGGGTCAAGGGGTTAAAGGTCAAGGTCACATTGACCTTGTAAGCAAAAACGGTTTTCGATCAATAAGTAAAGAACCTTAAGGCCTAGGAACTTCAAACTTGGTATGGTGATTGGTCATGATCAGTAGATGACCCCTAACGATTTTTGGGTCAAGCGGTCAAAGGTCAAGGTCACATTGACCTCTTGGGTAAAAACGGTTTCCGATCAATAACAAAAGAACCCTTAGGCCTAGGAACTTCAAACTTGGTATGGTGATTGGTTATGACCAGCAGATGACCCCTATTGATTTTGGGGTTAAGTGGTCAAAGGTCAAGGTCACATTGACCTTGTAGGTAAAAACGGTTTCCGATCAATAATGAAAGAACCCTTAGGCCTAGGGACTTCAAACTTGATATGGTGATTGGTCATGATCAGTAGATGACCCCTATTGATTTGGGGTCAAGGGGTCAAAGGTCAAGGTCACATTGACCTCTTAGGTAAAAACAGTTTCGGATCAATAACTAAAGAACCCTTAGGCCTAGGAACTTCAAACTTGGTATGTGATTGGTCATGATCAGTAGATGACCCCTATTGATTTTGGGGTCAAGGGGTCAAAGGTCAAGGTCACATTGACCTCTTAGGTAAAAGCAGTTTCCGATCAATAACTAAAGAACCCTTAGGCCTAGGAACTTCAAACTTGGTATGGTGATTGGTCATGACCAGCAGATGACCCCTACTGATTTTGGGGTTAAGGGGTCAAAGGGAAAGGTCACATTGACCTTGTAGGTAAAAATGCTTTCCGATCAATAACTTAAGAACCCTTAGGCCTAGGAACTTCAAACTTGGTATGGTGATTGGTCATGACCAGCAGATGACCTATTGTTTTTAGGGTCAAGGGGTCAAAGGTCATGTAACATTGACCTTGTAGGTAAAAACGGTTTCTGATCAATTAACTAAAAACGCTTAGGCCTAGGAACTTCAAACTTTGTATGATGATTGGTGGTGACCAGCAGATGACCCCTATTGAGTTTTGGGTCAAGGGGTCAAAGGTCAAGGTCACATCGACCTTGTAAGTAAAAACGGTTTCTGATCAATAACTAAAGAACACTTGGGCCTAGGAACTTCAAACTTGGCATAGTGATTGGTCATGATCAGCAGATGACCCCTATTGATTTTGGGGTCAAAGGTCAAGGTCACATTGAACCTTGTATGTTAAAACGGTTTCGGATCAATAATAAAAGAACCCTTAGGCCTAGGAACTTCAAACTTGGCATGGTGATTAGTCATGACCTGCAAATGACCCCTATTTGATTTTGGGTCAAGGGTCAAAGGTCAAGGTCACATTGACCTTGTAAGTTAAAACGGTTTCTGATCAATTAAGTAAAAACGCTTAGGCCTAGGAACTTCAAACTTTGTATGATGATTTGTCTTGACCAGCAGATGACCCCTATTGAGTTTTGGGTCAAGGGGTCAAAGGTCAAGGTCATGACCAGTAGATACTTGATAACCCTTATTAATTGTTTGATCACTGGGTCAGGAGTCATGCATAATTACCTTATCACATGAATAATTGGCTGCTGATAGGGGGCATACATGTTTTACAAACATATCTTGTTTTTCTCTAATTTTCACAAAAAGTGATCGTAATACATTGTAGATGAATCACATTGTTTTATATACTGAGAATTGTTGTATTTATTTTGCAAAATGCACACTTTTAGAAATTTTGTAAATATTATATTATTTAAATATCATATCATTGACTTGTATGCCCCAGCACTTTCCTCTCTTACCAAGAGAGTGATTTTTCTTTGTGAGTAGAACATTAATACTAACCCACCAAGGCTCGATGATGCTACAGTTGTCCTGAAAGTAATGCCCAAAAATCAAACAGAATTTTTGCTCCAGTAAAAAGACTTTGAGTTGTGACTTAATTTGCATTATACATGTAGAATATTCAAAATTCAACAAAGATGAAGTAACTGTAAAACATAGTATTGAGATCATTGCATCTTCATGTTATAACAGTTTATGGCGTCTTCATACTTTATGGACATAAAATATCTCTTGAAGAGAAGGCCATTTTCATGTACTAAGTTTGACCTAGATCCTTGAATGAACTTTACTTACAATATAAATATCTAAAATCCCAGCAAATTTTATTGTAAGTTGACTTTTTATTATTTACAGATTATCGATAGGGGTATTTAAGTACATTTTGTATTTAAATTTCATGGTTATGCATGAAATAGATCTATTATGCATGTATGTAACAGTGTAAGGAATTTGGATTTGAATCTACTAGGCTGGTTGGACTACCAGATTGGAATATTCACTAGCCCAAAAGACAGTTCACTAGCACGATTCATTTGTTCAAAATGTATATTGCCTCTGAAAATACAGTAGCCTGGTTGGGCTTGTTACTGTGAAAAGTTGGTAGCCAGAGGAGAAATTTAGTCGTCAGGGGCTATCGCACTACTGCTAATTTCGAACACTGTCATGAAATTTTATCTCTCAGACATTCAATATGCACAAGTTATATTATAGCATGAAATTGATTTTCACACTTTTGACATCTGTTTGAAACATATTTTACAGGAGTGTCTACCAATGATCAAGTCTAAAGTTCCAACATATTGCTCTATTTTTACCTGATCACATGACATGTAGTACCAGACATCAACTCCGTCCTTACAGCAATGACTGGCCATTCTACACAACTGTCATTCACTGTTAAATTTACATTTTTCTATAACTTTTGAATTTATATGATGTTGATGATGATGATTATGATGATGATATTTAGGCTTGTTTTATTACTGATTGTTTTTTATGCTTCCCTAAAACATTGGGGACAAATATACTTGCCAAGTCGCAAAGGCATTATTATGAAGTCTGGTCACACTTGCATACAGTCTCTCCCTAGCAGCTTCACATGTTGACAGATGTACTCCTTATTTATTTAATGTAAACCTTTGATGGTCTTGTAACTTTGAGCAGGGCTTGGGAATATTTAATAGGAACATAACTTTGGTGACCCTCCATCTTTGTTGTAATTATCAAGGTCAAGATCAATGATGTTATAAAATACTTTTTTCACATTTCCTGACATATTTTACATTGTAGTATATTGACAAGTGTAGCTTTTGAACAATATATTTTGATTTCTACTTTAAGATTATTCAGATTTTTTTTTTGTGAACTAAGAAAATACTTTCTCTAATCATTGTGGAATAATCTGTATCACACACTGTATCTCAGTTATTGTAAAATCTGTGATTTTTTTCCCTGAACAAACTGACAATTGTATGAAAAATTGTTATTTCTCACATTAGTGAGGTCAGGTATAAGCAGTGCTCACTCAAAACAAACAAATATTCTGTGTGATGTGATTTTGAGCTATTCTAAAACATATCAGTGATAGATTGTTACCAAATCATTGATGTTATGAAAGTTATCTTTGATATTATTGATGTTAGTTTTGACAATTTTTGTGGGTTTTTGTTGTTGTTGATTTAAAGAAAAATATATGTTATTATTGTGTTGAATCTATATATGCTTGGTTGTAATCATGAAATCATCAAGTAGAACATAACTCTTAATATTTATTTTCATTTTGTCAGAGTTATGGCCCTTTTTTGCATCATGATACTGATTGTCATAATAGTCCTTTGAAAGGGTAGGTAACTCAATTATTAAGTGAAAAATTTACAGCATTGCTGTGTTGAACCAAACGTTTATTATGATTGCATGAAAGTCATTCAAATTATGTGCAGAATTTCATGATCATTTCCTTTTTGGCCTAAGGCCATAACTTTGCATTGAGTCTTGTTAGATTATTGGCATTTAGTTCATAGATTTTGTAAGACATTAGGGCTTCAGTTGCCTTATGTTTATAGCTTATATAACAAATTTTATCATTCCTGACTTGTCTGACTTACTGAACAAAGCATTAGGGAAAAAACATTACAAGGAAATAAAAGTACAGGATAAATTTTAAAAAGGTCTGTAGGATTTCATTCTTTTGCTTACATTCATCCCTTAAATATGTGAACATTTTCTGTATTCTCAAAATCAGTTTTAAACATTAAATAACAACCAAAATCTATTGAAATTCTGTTTAAAAACTCCCAAAAAATTGAAGGTATTCTAGTCTATGAAAAACTTTATACATGAAAATGTCTGCATCATCACTAAATATTTTGTCTGTGATATTGTAAGTAACAGATATTCAATATCTTGTATTTCGGTTGTAAATACTTATTATACATGTATGTCTTTCACGATTTTATATTGTTGCCATATTTTCATGCTTTTTTTTATTGAATTCATGCACTATGTCAATTTCATTTTGTATTTGAGACATTTTTAAAACTTTTGCCAGTAGAAAAACATAAATTTCAGGTTGAAGAAAGACACATTCTTTTTATTTGGATAGCATTTTTCTAATATTCTCGTGTTGTCCGATGTAATTTCCAAGATGTTTCATATACAAGAGAAAATAAATTGAAAGAACCCCTTTTAATAAACTGCAAATTTTAGCAATGAAGCACATTGCGGAATCATGATAAACAAGTTTGTCCATTGTACTATTAATTGATAATAGCAAAGGATTTTTTTCTATATAAGCCGTGCCATGACAAAACCAACATAGTGCGTTTGCGACCAGCATCCGCGCAGTCTGATCAGGATCCATGCTGTCCGCTATCAGTTTCTCTACTTGTTATGGGGTTTGGAAGCGAACAGCATGGATCCTGATCAGACTGCCCGGAAGCGCAGGCTGGTCTGGATCCATGCTGGTCGCAAAGGCACTATGTTGGTTTTGTCGTGACGCGGCTCATATACAGATGTTTCCCATTTAGTAAGACAACATGTGTTAAAGCACAACACCTATATGTGAAAATAAGGATACAGATATGAAGTCTTCAGTTATTTTTGGCCTTAATGATAGAAAGAGGGAACTTACACAGCATGTTAGAGAGAAACTTACTATTATTTATACTGTTTGGTATTACTTTTTTATTTGGTTTTAAGTCTCACACATTTTGTTACTGTTGTATGGCAACTTTGTTAGAATTCAAGATGCAAGTTTATTTCATGCTTTTCAGTAGACAGTGAAATTATATTTCGATAAATTCACAGTGAAATTATCAAAATATAATTTTCACTATAGCCAGACTATATTTAAATGTGAATGAAAAGAACGTAACATAAATAAGAAGAAATGCTGTCAACACTCTGTCTAAAGTTAAATGTGCTTGATTATGAGAAGAACATAAAAAAGTCTGCCCATGTCATATTGAAAATGTAACAAAAATTGTGAAATTGTACAGAATTATTTTTCAACACTAACAATTTGATGTCATGATTTTTAAGACTTCATGAATGTTGTTAACAGCAAAAAAAAGTAAAAATGGCTGAAAAACTACTTCAAAGCATTTAAAAAAAATTTTGAAAATTTTCTAAAGTTTTAAAAATTTTTAAGACAAAATTTTATTTCACTCTTTAACACTTGGGCTTTAAAATTTTAAGGGCATGGGGTATGGCCCAATGGGGGGAAAAAATTTTCAAACTTTGGGGTTTTCTCTGTGAAATATTTGTTAACAAAATTTCAAAAAAAAATCCTGTTTTGTAAATTTTTTTTTTTTGCCCCCAGAAGGGGGCATTTTTTAAAAAAACCCCACTGTTTTTTGGGGGGGGCCGTCTGTTTTTGGGATCCCCACTTTTTGAAAGTCCAGATTTTTAAATTTGGGCATAATTTAGGATTTTTAAAAAACGGGCCCCCCAAAAAGTCTTCCCCATCAAGTTTTATGTGTCGCGTCCAATAAACCACGTCCCTACCTCAAAGGTCAAGGTCACACTATAATTTTGAAGTTTCACATTATTGCAATTAGAGTAAATAGATACACAAATTTGTGTCCGGACTGTAACATTGTCGTGCATCAAATGATTTTAAAATAACTAGGCTACCACATCAAGACAATGTGTCGCGTCCAAGAATTACGTCCCTACCTCAAAGGTCAAGGTCACACTAACATTTTGAAGTTTCACATTATCACAATTTGAATTAATAGGTACACAAATTTGTGTCCTGGCTGTAACTTTGTCATGCATGGAAGGATTTTAAAATAACTTGGCAAAAATGTCTACCACTTCAAGACAATGTGTTGCGTTCAATAATCATGTCAGTCCTCAAAGGTCAAGGTCACACTAACATTTTGAAGGTTCACTTTATCACAAAGAGTTTATAGGTGCACATATTTGTGTCCGTATTGTAACTTTGTCATGCATGGAAGGATTTTAGAATAACTTGGCAAAAATGTCTACCACATTAAGACAATGTGTTGCAGCTAAGGCTCATGTCTCCCTGTCCATCTTTGTGTCCCCACTTACACAACAATCATGTCCAGACTGTAACTTTGTCGTGCATGGAGGGATTTTGAAATAACTTGGCACAAATGTCTATCTCATAGCAACATTCAGTTGCGTCCAGGAACCACGTCCCTTCTTCAAAGGTCACACTTATATTTTGAAGGTTCACGCTATAACAATTAGAGATTACAGGTACAATGATATAAAGAACAATATTCAGCAATTAGTTACTTTCATTCTTCTTTTCATAATACCTGCATGATTAAGAAACATTTTCGGGGGCAATTGTCACTTGGGTGACAGCTCTTGTTGTTAATAATGTTATATTTTAAATCAGTGTTTATGCCGTTACATTCCATTGTTGTTGTCTGATATAATATTGTATGAAGTGCTTAATCTGTAAGTAATTGCCCGTTTTTCTTTATATCTAATTAATATTGTATGAAAAATTTCCTATTTTGAGCTTTTCTGTATTTGAAGAAAAAGGAAACTGGCCTCACTTTTGTATCAAAGTCGTTTTTGGTTTAGGTACTGGATACGATTACATTTTTCATTTGTTATAAAAGTTATACACTTGAAACTTCACAAGTCCCTTATCTCTATCATTGATAATTAATTAAACTATTTTACTTTTGGAAGAAAAGAAATAATTTAGGTCTGATATGCCATTTGTATTATTCTCCACAACTACAAGGTATTCTTTACTATTCTTCAGGAACTTAATTGTAGGTTACCAACCAACTCTTGCAAGAATTTATTTACTGAATGATTCCTCTTCCAGAATTAAGTAAATCAATTACCTTTGTTTTAACAAAAATTGTTTTCCCTTAAAAATATCCCTACAGTTTACAAAGGGGCATATTTCAAATTCTTTGTTTAAAATTTTTCAATTTTCCCGTAAAAAAAATTTAAAAAAATACAAAAACCCTTTTTTGTGCTTCAGGGTCAGACAAAAGATAAAAATAAAACTTGTGGGGTTTTTAGGAACCAGTTTCAAAAAAATTTAGAAAAACTTTTTTCCCGGGTTTTTTAAAATTTAGTAAAAAAAATTTAGGGGGGGCTTTCGGGCCCGGGGTTTTTTTAGGGTTTTGATAGGGGTCATTTAAAAATTTTCCCGAGTCAAAAATATAAAGAAAATATTTAAGCAAATTGGGGAAAATGTATTACTTTCTCTTTAAAGAAAAGTATTAAAAAGAACTAACACCCTTGAAACATGTATTTATATTTTTTTCTAGAATTGAATATATATTCTGCTTATTTGAGTAAAAAATAATAAAAAAAGATGTCTTTTATTGTATTTGAGACTTTTATTCAGTATTCTTAAGAGTTTGGTTTTGATTTTCCGACATCATTTAGGTTATATGGCGAGTAAAGTTTTACTGTTGGTGGATTGCCACATGCCAAAACTACCTGTTTCTGTATTTTGGGCAAAAGTGGTTACCAGAGTAGGATGATCTGTTCACAAGTTGGATAGGATATTTATTAAGTTTAGAAATGATTACAAAGGATATTGAAAAATGTAAAATCTAAGATTATGTCAAGTTCTAATATTCAAATTCTTACATTATTTATATCAAGAAGCTAAGTTTCACAATTAAATAAAAATGAATAAGAAATGCAACTTTAATCAATGACATTTATTTTTTGGTTAGATTTTACATCAAGCCAACTCTGTTTCGGTTGTATAGTGACTAGCTTTACTGTGGAGAAAGACTTAATGTGCCTTCACATAGATTATCACAAAGATTATCTCAGACTCAAGTACTGTAGGCATCTAAGCAGAACCAATGTCCTCATGCCAGGGAAATAGACTAGTTGGGTGTGTTCCCAACAAGAAAGAATTCAGTGTTCTTAACATGATAGATTCAATTAATAATTAAGAACAAACCCACTTTAAAGGGTTGCATGAAAGGTCCTTTCAAGTGTTTATAGTTTAATGGAAATTGACTAAATGGCTAACCAATTGCTTCACTGGGTTATGCAACCTGGTTTACACAATAGAACACATACTTTTGTTTGTGACATTTATTTGCGAGTAGTTGACCTATCAATGAATAGAAACAAGAGGGCCATGATGGCCCTGAGGTCGCTCACCTGTATATAGGCCCTCGGAGCCGGGCCAGTTTAAACCCCAGGGCTTTTATTTGAATAAACTTGGAAGACACCCATAAGAAGATGTTTCATGATGTTAAGTTTTTACTACACACATATAATGAAATCATGCTAAACATCTAAGCTGTAGTTCATTGGGTTTTTGTGTCGCCTTGAAAAGGTGACATATAGGGGTTACTTTTGTCGGCGGTGTCGGCGGCGGCGTCTGTGTCGGCGTCGTTGTCGGTGTCGTTGTCGGCGTCGTTGTCGGCGTCCCCTAAAGCTTGTCCGGAGCATAACTCAGTCACTATAAGTCTGATTGACTTCAAACTTGGTATGCATGCTTCTTTCAATAACCCGAAGTGCAGTGCACAAGGACCGGTACTCTGCAGTTCTTATTTTTTGAGTTATTGCCCTTTGTTAATTTTCATACTTTAATTTTGTCCGGGCCATTTCTCTTCAACTAAAAAAGCTATGGACTTGAAAACTTCATAGGATGATAGATCTCATTATTAAGAAGTGCAGTGCACAAGAACCAGTACTCTGCACTTCCTAATTTTTGAGTTATTGCCCTTTGTTAATTTTCATACTTTATTTTTGTCCGGGCCATTTCTCCTAATGTATAAAAGCCATGGACTTGAAACTTCATAGGATGATAGGTCTCATTAAGAAGAAGTGCAGTGCACAAGAACTGGTACTCTGCATTTCTTATTTTTTTGAGTTATTGCCCTTTGTTTATTTTCATACTTTAATTTTGTCCGGGCCATTTCTCCTTAAGTATAAAAGCTATGGACTTGAAAACTTCATAGGATGATAGATCTCATTATTAAGAAGTGCAGTGCACAAGAATCGGTACTCTGCATTTCTTAATTTCTGAGTTATGGCCCTTTGTTAATTTTCATACTTAATTTTTGTCCAGGCCATTTCTCCGAAAGTATAAAAGTTATGGACTTGAAACTTCATAGGATGATAGATCTCATTAAAAAGAAGTGCAGTGCATAAGAACTGATACTCTGCATTTCTTATTTTTGAGTTATTGCCCTTTGTTGATTTTCTTACTTTATTTTTGTCCTGGTCATTTCTCCTCAAGTATGAAAGCTATGGACTTGAAACATCATAGAATGATAGATCTTATTGATAAGAAGTGCAGTGTACAGAAACTGCTGCTCTGCACTTATTATTTTTTAGTTATTGCCCTTTGTTATATTTCATATTTCATTTTTGTCCTGGCCATTTCCCCTAAACTTCATTGTTCACAAGGCGACACATCCGACTCGCGGAGTTCTAGTTTAAAAGAAGATTTTTTAAGTTTATACTATACACATATAGTTAAAAACAATGACACCCCTGGGGCGGGGCCAGTTTTGACCCCAGGGCTTCCATTTGAACAAACTTTGTAGACACTTACTAGAACATGATTCATGCTTAATATCTTAACTCTAGCTATTTGGGTTTTTTCAAAGAAGATTTTTAAGTTTTTGCTATACACATATAAGGAAAATCAATGACTTCCGGGGCAGGGCCAATTTTGACCCCAGGGCTTTTATGCATGAAACATCTTCTAGTGAGTGTCTACCAAGTTTGTTCAAATAAAAGCCCTTGGGTCAAAATTTGCCCGGCCCCAGGGGGTCTTTGATTTTCCTTATATTTGTATAGCAAAAACTTAAAAATCTTCTTTGAAAAAACCCAAATAGCTAGAGTTTAGATATTAAGCAAAAACTTAAAAATCTTCTTTGAAAAAACCCAAATAGCTAGAGTTTAGATATTAAGCATAAAACATCTTCTAGTAATTGTCTACAAAGTTTGTTCAAATAAAAGCCCTGGGGTCAAAATTGGCCCCGCCCCATGGTGTCATTTGTTTTAACTACATGTGTATAGTAAAAACTTAAAAAATCTTCTTTTAAAAAAACCCCAATGAGCTAGAGCTTAGATGTTTAGCATAAAACATCTTCTTATGGGTGTCTACCAAATTTGTTCA